GCAAAAAAAAAAAAAAGTGTCTATATTGGAAGAAATTCACACAGAAATGCTGGCAAATTTTCATGCCTTTTTTAAAAAAAGAATCCACAAAACGATGCAAAAATGCGGAGACCTGAATTTAAGGTTATAAAAATGAGAAAAGTGAAAGTAACAGATTCACTCATCCCTAGTTCCACCCCAAGAGCACGATTTTAGCCTAACATCATCAGAATGAGTGACAATGACTTGCATAGGCCATCAAGTAAGCTTCATTGTTGAATGGGGCTTTGGGCTTGGCTTTCCTCACACCCAAACTCATCCATTCTAGCTGCTGGACCACATTCCCACCCCTGAAGTTATTGCTTGTCACAAAGGCGGCATCAAGAGCACTGAACTCCCGCAGACACTTTGCACATGAGCTCTGTTGCGCCTGCTGAGCACTTCCCCCAAGACTCTGCCCTTTTAGGTACAATTTGCCCTCTGAAACCCTGGAGAATGGGATGCTTAAAATGAGAATCTAAATCCTTCCAAGAAAGGGGGGGAAAGGCAACATAACAAATGTTCCTGCCCGCTTTCACTTTTCGTGAAGGTTATACCAAAAAGGATATTTTTATCAGTGAGGTCTTCTAGGATTGCAAGACTGTTTGTCTGGAACTGAACCAGGGCCTCACATTCACACGGGTTGCGGAATTCAGTTTCTCCCTTGCCTTCCTCTGAAATAACATAAAATATATTAGAAACATATTCAGTTCAGCACTATTGACACTTAATAGCACCAGAGGCCCCTGATTCCATAAAAAACCTTTGATCTGATGTGACCATCACCTTGCCACTGACTCCTGCACTCTGGGCTAAGTTGGTTAAGTGAAGGCAACCAAAATGTGAAATGCAGTTAGCTTTCTGTGATAAAAAATTGCCCAAGGGCTGCAATGAAGAACTGAAAGGGGTCAGGGGAACAATTCTCAAATTTCCACAGGATCCTGTTGTGACCTTAATTGACATACTGCATACGATGCTCTAACTTTCTGCTAGGGAAAAGCCTTATTTATATTTATTATTATTGAAAGTCTACCCCTTACCATCTCCAAGTCTCTGTGCTATGAGACTTATTCACACATGCACTGAACAGATATATAAGCTGCCTCTGCAGGTGTAGAATTGTTAATGTGACCAAGTGTGTGCTTGTTGATTTGTACAGCTCAATTGTTGTGCTCAATTGTTGTGCGCATGGCCACACAGATTCCACACCTGTGGAGCACCACAAGTGAAGAACTGTACCACAGCTCAACTACTAGACCTGTTCACACGATACACACTGAACACAGGTTCAGGATGTCTCTACACAGCTTCCCCCTTTCTTTTAGGGGGATACTAAATTTAGCGTTAAATGACCTGTAAAGTGATGTAATGTGAGGCAAGACACAGAATCATGTGCAGAATGACCTATTTGCTTACAGGATTTACTGGAACATGGCATTCAAATATCTGACGGCAGAAGCATAGCGGTAAAGGTTGTTGCCTAGATTCCGCCATCGCTTACCAGGACAGATGTTGACTTTGAGATTGTCCACAATGTTCGTCATGGTGTTGAAATCTGCAGAGTATGAGAAGTGCTGATCTACTGGCTCAGAAGCAATCGCTCTCAGTTCCTCTTCAACAGCTTTGCCGACTCCGACCGCAAACATGGTAATTCCTGCAGAACCGGCAACATGTATAGGATACAAGGGTTTCAGTTTTTGGGAACTCAGGCAATTTGTTTGAATCTCAATAGCCAGTGCTATGGGATGCCATTCATACACAGTGCATGAAGACAGAACCAATCGTTTCTGAGATTGAGGGAGGAGTTCCAGAGCTGGGGTACCACCACCAAGAAGGCTCTCCTTTGAATAGCAAGCCTAGGCTGATGATGCAGCCATGAGAGCCTTTCTGACCAGTCTTCATAGTTGGTGAGGTCTGCATGGAAGTAGGTCTCTCAGGTATTAGTAGTCGCTATTATTATCACTATAATTTGTGGATTTCTATACTGCTTAATGCCAAACTAGGCTTCTACACAGTTTAGAAGTACAGAAACCAAAGGCTCAAACATTAAAACGCAAAGATCCATAATTAAAATACACAATAAAACCATCCCATTAAAATATGAACATCCATCGCTGAAATATGCAATAAAACAATTCCATTAAAGCAACACAGCAATTAAAACAGGAGACTCAGGTCAAGAGACCAAGGGGATGACTGGGCAATGAGGTGCATCATCGATAGCTGGTGGAAAGTCAATACAGATGAGGCCTCTCTTGTTTCCATAGGACATGTGTTCTATAACACCAGTGCTACCAGTAAACAAACCTGCCTCTGCATCACCACAAGCTGGTCATAATTAGGATGGGACAAATAATAACCCCCTTCCCCTTCTTCTCCCAGAGTAGTTTTAACCTCAGGTCTTGTGCCAACCACAGAGCGCTCTTCCAAAACTTCTGCCCACAACGTGAGGGAAGGGTTCATGACAGAAAACAACTGAAGTGGGAGAGAATCATGGGAGTTCTATGAGACTGTGTCAATAGTTGGGTCCAGATTAGGATCCCTTGAGGTCCCAGGATACAAAATGGCTGATCCCTGTCATGTAGGCAATGAAGTGGGATATCATGCAAGAAGAGAGAGTTATAGACAGGAGAACACAGGATTAAATAATACTGTGTGTTCAATTTTATCTGCCCTGCTCTGTCCCATCATGACCATGCTCTTATCCACCTATGGGAAAAGAACAAGTCTTGAAAATCTGGAACCAGATGACTGAAAAACAGAAGACGACACAACTTTCAATGAGAAGTAAGCTGCAGCTTCCAGGCATAACATTGGCAAAGGATGAAAACTTCTTTTTCCTCCATTTCTTGTTCTGGGTTTAAGCTGCCTGTCCTCTTCTGGCCAGGGATAAGAAATGCCGCTGTACCTTCCCTTTTCCTCATCTCTTGGGAGTTCAGCAACTGACTAGAAAGCAGCATAACCGCCTCAATTTTTCTAGGCCCTGTAATTTGACACTCCTCTGCATTTTCCTTTTGGCAATAACAGGAGGAAACGAGAGAATTCGCTAATTAGCCACAAATTCCTGACACTGCCCAGAAACACAGAGGCAGAACAAACTGGCTGGAATGCTCCAGCAAACCTCTGGCCACCCTGGTGCCAAGAGCAAAGGAGTTATTTGGCTCAAACTCTTAGAATTCAGGCATTGCCATCCCAGACAGTCTGCCTACAGAGTGGCTCAGCCCCTGTCTGCACTGCAGCTTTCAAACCGGTTTAAGATAAATAAGCATTCCCTCTCCCCATGAGATCCTGAGAACTGTAGTTCTGTGATGAAGGGGTCTCTAGCAGAATCCTCAGCAAGCTCAACTGGCTACAATTCCCAGCATCCTTTCAGGGAAACCATGGCAGCTCATGAAAGAAACTGATTAGAATTTGTAGGTGCTGGAAGGATAGAGAAGGGAGCATCTCTTGGTGGTACATCATCTCTGCATGCAGAAACTCCAGGTTTAATCCCTAGCACACGAGTCAGGAATCTTTTCCTGCCAACTGGATGGATCCCACACTCCTCTACCCTTGATGGACCATGTTGCCACATGGGAGAGGGGCTGCCCATCTGTCAATCACCGGGCTTCACAAGGACATCAGGTGACAACGTCTAAGGGGCTAGCTGGGGGGGGGGGGATATTATCTCCAGCAGCTTCAAAATTTCCAGAAATCTTACATCTCTCCTGGCACTGGCTTTCCAGGGTTCCTTTCAGACAGCCCTATCTGGAGATAAAGGAGACTGAACCTGGGACCTTCTCCATGCAAAGCAGGTGTCTTACCACTGAGACACAGCGGCAATTCATAGCCCAACCTCTATGGTCAGAACATACCTAGAGAAAAGAGTTGTATGGCAAAATGCGTACAGTTAGAGATCAAGTGCTTTACTGACTGGAGAAATTCAGAAGCAACCTCCTTTCAGCTCCTCACCCATGAATAAAAGCTCCGCAATACCTATAGACAGATCCCAATTACACATCCCTGCTGCACCCTCACCTGACTCCTTTGCTCTTCTCGCCCACTCGGAGATGTCGTCTTGAGAACGGCCGTCCGTGAAGACCAGGCCTACTCTGGGCACATTCTGGGAAAGGGGCCGGGCCCCTTCCGCCTCCGAGAAGCTGTGCTCCAGCATGTGCTTGAGGGCCAGGCCTGTCATGGTGCCCTTCTCCATGTACTGCACTCTCTGCACCGCTTTCTTGACATCAGCCACTGTCGTGTACTTGTTGAGAGGGAACTCCGTGCGCACTCGGCTCGAGTACTGGACCAGCCCCACGCGCGTGCCGTGAGGGGACACGTCCAGGAAGTCCACAATCTGGTTCACAAACTGCTTCACCAGCTCAAAGTTCTGAGGCCGGACGCTCTTGGAGCCATCGATCACCAGCACCAAGTCGATGTGCCCAGCTTTACACTCTATAGCCCAAGGAAAAAAGGGGAGGCGAAGGGAGACGAGCGTTAGCCTTGTCTTCTGAAATAGCAGCAAAGTGAGATATATGATGGATATTGGGCCATCACCCTCGAGTTGCTGAAAAGTCCAGACTGGGCACCTCCAAGCTGTGAGGATCCCAGCTTCACACAGTTGGAGAATTCCCTCACAATCCTGTAGCTCTTTTGCTACACTTTACAAGACCTTTGGAAACCCAATCCCAGTACTGTTTCTAGACAACTACAATGTACCTCTCACACACATGATTTTCAGTAGGCAATCTCTTGTGCCTTGCCTCTTGCATCACCAGCATTCTGGTTCCTCAGCAAATCACACAGACAAACTGTGGGTCAACAGTGCCCTCTTGCTACCAACTGACACCACAGCCTAATTAGGACCTAAGATTGGGTTACAACCTGACATCCCAGATATTGTTATTATAATTATTACTCCTTTTAAAGTTACTTTTAACAACATCATTAAAAAAAAACTTGAAAATTAACATGAAGCAAATTTCATACAAACACAACACTGTTCGTCTCTACATTTTATCCAATGTTTTTCAGTAAGAGATTATGGTAAGCACAACTTTAGAAAGTTAAAGCCAACCTGAGGTTCCGGAAGGTAGCAGTTCTCTTGGCAGAACTGTACGAAAGGAGACCAGCTCCCCCGGAATTTGTTCCTATAATCATCAGGTACTCTTGCTCTTAGATAAGATGTTAATTTTGTCTTTATAGCAAAATGCTAAACTTTGATAAACTGCTCTTTCCAACGAGGGAGTACTATGTCTTTCCATCTTTGGGGAAATAATTTTTGTGCAGCTGTTAAAATATGAGAAGCAAGTACTATGTGTTCCTTCTATATAGGAAGTGGTGTGTGTGTGTGTGTGTGTGTCAGAGAGAGAGAGAGAGAGAAAGAATACAACAGTACCAATGCAAGAACTAGTAGTACATCACGATTCAGGATTCTGCTTAGTATTTTAATGATCTCACTATTCTGAACACCTCGTATTCACTTCTTTTATTTAGTCTTTTGCTTCCTGTCACATATTTTTGCAAATAATACACAAACTCCTCCGTTGTAACCTTAGATCCCATGATACAGGAGGAATTCTGTCTGCTCTGAGGCCATTGCCACCCAACTCGGCAAATCCAGTCTAATAACACACAGCAACTAATGCATCCCTTCTAACCAATCATGCATTTATGTTATGTGCCAACTGGGACACTTTTTGTTGTATTTTCAAAAGCAGAAACAGTATCTCTGAATGTGTGTCCATCTAAGAGATATCAGGAATAGTGATCAGTCAGGATCAAGACATCGCCACTCACCTGCCTGCCATCTATTTGAAATATTCTGTGTCATGTGAGAGGTCAAGGCTAGGAATCTGTTTCAGGTATCAAAGAGGAGTCATGCATGAAGAACATTCCATAGCAAGGAAAATCCCTAATACTCACTGTTGCATGTCTTCTTGTCTGCCTGGAGCTGCTGACCCTCTGGGCAAAGACAGTGGTAAGAGCCTGCAGTGCTGACACACTTAAATTCACATCCATGCTCTACGCTATTGCAGAGGTCGCTGGCTGAAACACAAATCATGGGGATAATTTCATCTAGCTACGGAGTTCAGCATGTTGCACCAGGTGGAGAACCATTAGGACCATACGGTGAAGAAACTATAAACTATGTTTTCTGCTGCTCCAGGGGGGAGGACCCGAACCAACGGAATCAAATGACAAGAAAGGCAATTCCAACTAAATATTAGGATTTACTTTCTGACAGTAAAAGCTGTTCAAAAGGGGAATAGGCCAGCATGGAAGGTGGTTGACTCTCCTTCATTGGAGGTTTTTTTAAACGGCTGGATGGATTCTTTGGTTGTAATTCCTCCATTGCAGGTAGCTGGACTAAATGGCCCTTGTGGTCCCTTCCAATTCCATAATTCTGTGGTTCTAAGGAAAATTAGAAAGGCAATATTGCCTTTGGTTATGTTGATCAACAGGATTCTCCAGCACTCTAAGGAACATGTTTTATACTGAAGTCACAGCCCATAAATCCAGTGCATCACAGTCCCTTCCACCAACTCTATGGGTGTCTTCTTTTGAGACATCCCAACTCATTTTCAAAACAGTCATTTGGCAAACCTAGTAATGAATCATAGCCAGATGTTGCACTCTATGTTTTAGCGCACTTGTTTGCTTTTCTTTTTTGCTCCCCCCTCCGCACCAATGCATATGGTGTTCTCCGCCACAGCCACACAATGCAACACTTACCCTGGCATGACTTGCCATCAGCCTGCAGGGTGTAACCATCGCGGCAGCGACAATAGTACCCATTGAGGATATTCACACAATCATGCTGGCAGCTGTGGTTGCCAAAGTTGCAGAAATTGATCACTGGAAGAAATAGAGGGGGGTGGGGAATGATTTTGAGGTGATCAGGACCCATTGCTCTTCCCTCCTGCAAAATGCCTCCATTCCTCCAAGATCCCAGTTCCCATTTAATAGCTACCAACCCACCACCCCTTCCCCAATATTATGGAATACAGAGGCAGAAAAGGGCAGCCAAAATTAACAGGGGGCTGGAGAAACTCCCCTATCAGGAATGACCACAATGTCGGGGGCTTTTTCATTCAGAGAAAAAGAGAGTAAGAGGTGACGTGATCTATCATGATGGCAATATACTAGTTCCATGCCTTTTGATACCAGTTGCTGGGGGGTGACAGTGGGGAGAGTCCTGCCTGTGGGCTTCGCAGGGGAACCTGATCAGCCACTGTGTGAAAGAAGATCCAGATCTAGAGAGGTTTCTTATCTGATCCAGCAGGACTCATCTTACGCCCTTAGATGGAGATTACTCACTGCTACATGTCTTCTTGTCTTGGTTGAGCTGATAGCCTGTCCGGCAGCGGCAAGTGTAGGAGCCGAGAGAGCTGACGCATTGATGCTCACAGCCGTGTCTCCCATCAGCACAGGCATCGATGACTGCAGAGGTTTTAAAAAAAGGACACGTCATGGACTGGGCAAACAAAAGCCATAGGTAAGGCTTGTCCAGTCTTGCATACTTGGGCACTGGGACTGCTATCAGAGGATATCAGGTACAGCAACTCATGTTGACAAGAAGCTAGGGGGTAGGCAGATCCTGTTGGTTTTTGGCTTCTCATTTTTCCAGTTCAGTCTTCCACATTTCTTCTTCGTTTTGCAATTCATTTATTTTTGAAGTCTTTGTGAAAATTCATCAGCATTTTTGTTAGGATTTCTCCTAACACAGTGGAACCTCGGGTTGCGGACGTGATCCATGATGGAAGCATGTCCGCAACCTGCAGCATTCGCATCCTGAAGCGCCGCTTCTGCGCATGCACAAAGAGCGATTTAGCACTTCTGCACATGCGCGAGCGGCAAAACCCGGAAGTAACCCGTTCCAGTATTTCCGGGTTTCCCACAGTCCGCAACCCGAAGACATGTAACCTGAAGCATCCGTAACATGAGGTATGACTGTATATACACTTTCTTATGCAAACTTTGCCCAAAATATGCATTTCTGCAAAGCAATTTACCCAAATCCAATGCACATTCGTATGCTATTTCCCCTTATACTCCAGGATATGCGTTTTTGTACACATTGCTTAGCCAGAAAGCTACATTGCAAAATCCAGAGAAGCGCAAATGTTGAAGGATGGCTGTGTTTTCATTTATACGTTGTTTTGGAAACTGCAGATTAGGTAGGTTCCTCCTTAAATGTTAACTGAACCCAGTTTCTCTCCCATCCTTATAAGAGGTCACAGGCACAGGCACATTGTCACTTTCACAGAATCACAAAATTGTAGAGTGGGATGGGAACCCAAGTGTCATCAGGAATCTTTAACCTTTTCAGACTCAGGACCCACTTTTAACCAAAACATGCATTTGGGAAAACACTTCTCAGTCTTTTACCATATATTTGCATGTTGGTAGTGCTGCTGTTGCAACCCGCCTGGGACCAGTCAGTGATCCATGAGGGTCCCGACCCACCAGCTGAAGTCCAGTGATCCAGCATCACAACCTGCAATGCAGGTATCACAGCTGTTTCTCTTATTTGTTTCCAGCACAAGATGATAAAGAGTCTGGAATCCAAGCCTTGTGAGGAACAGTTGAGGGAGTTGGGGATGTGTAGCCTGGAGAAGACTGAGAGTGGTATGATAGCCATCTTCAAATATCTTAAGGGCTGTTGCATGCAAGATAAGAGCAAGCTTGTTTTCTGCTGCTCCAGGGACACGATCCAGATCAATGGATTCAAGTTACAAGAAAGGAGGCTCCAACTAAACATGAGGAAGAACTTCCTGACAGTAAGAACTGTTCTACCGTCCACCTTAGAAGGTGGTGAACTTTCCTTCACTGGAGCTTTTTAAACAGAGGTTGGATGGTCATCTGTCAAAGATTCTTTAGCTGTGATTCCAGTATTTCAGGAGGTTGGATTAGATGACCCTTGGGATCCGCTCCACCTCTACAATTCTATTATCTATGTAGAATCTATTATCTACAGATCCATTTCTGAGTCTCCTTCCCACCCAGCACTGCTTGTTTTACAAGGGATTCTTACACAGAATAAACAGTGTCGGCTAATGAACACCACATTTTTTCCATATCGGCACATGTTCAGCATGCATCCACATTATGCAGATGGTTCGTTGTCGAACCTTATTACTCGTTGGCAGATCAGCAATGACACGGTTGCAAAATAAAATTCATCCAATGTGCAAGTTGCATTGTAATCTAGGCTTAGGAACTGGGAGAACTGCTGTCCATCTCATCAGCCCTAATAACTGTCTGACTGAACGTTCTGATCTTACTTACTGGAGCACGTCTTTCCATCAGCATTGAGCTTGTATCCTGGGTTACACTGACAATAGAAGGAGCCTGGGACACTGACACAAGTGTGCTGGCAGCCATGATCCAGTTCTGTACACATATCAACACCTGGAAGATGCAAGATGGCACAAGGTAAATAAGGGTTCGCTCACTTACATTACACATGAGAACGGCTATACCAGGGTGAAGACAGTGTAATGTTTTTAGTTAGTGGGGCCAATTTGGAAGTTTGGATGCATATCTCTCTCCGGGCTAAGCAATGCAGTGTGGGTGAGGGATGGTATTACAGGCTGGTAGCAGAAGCTGGCTGTGCACAACACTGATTGGCTGGTGCCAGTGACGCAACCAGTTTTGTCTCTTGCTCCCTTGTACATGCAGCAATCCCCAGAGCATTATGTACACTTCAACATGTTTTAAAAACTTAATAAGAAAATGGATGAAGGGATAAACCCTCGCAATTGCTTTAAATTCACATTTATATTAAGGGGAAGGCAGATTGTCCAAAACTCGCAGAGAGCGGCCAAGACTGATGGACGAACCAGCATTTGATAAACTGTGAATCAATTCAAGGGGTTAACATCCACCCAATCTCCACCTCCATTACAGGTTGCAGGCAACATAAGAAGCAAGAACGCATGAACAACGCTTGAGCTATCTTCTATCCTGGTAACCTCAAAGGGGGAACATGCCACCTTTCCCCTCATGTTCTGATCTCTCACTGAATCGCTTTTGAATGTCAACAATGGCCACGGGAGGTGGCTTGACTGTCCTGCCACTGCCGCCATCACTCACCACACAGCTTGTCCTGGAATTGCTTGCCGAACTGTTGGATGAGGTCAAAGGACTCCACCAAGAACACATGCTCCTCCAGTGGGGGAGAAGCCATGGCCCGGAGGGAGTTCATGTCTGCCCGCTGCACACCCACGGCATAGATTTCAATGCCGGCCGCTCTTGCCTGAGCTGCCACATCCGTCACACGGTCCTGAGGCCGCCCATCAGTGACGATCACTGCCACACGAGGGATTTTCTTGTGCAGCGGCCGTGCCCCCTCCTGCGTGGTAAAGGCCACGTTCATGGCATAATGGATTGCCAGCCCCGTCATGGTGCCTTGAGCCAAGGGGACAATGGCGTTGATGGCCTTCTCCATGTCCGCCCGGGTGAAGAAGGACTTGAGGGAGAAGACGTTCTGGACCTGGCTGGAATACTGGATCACCCCTACCCGGGTGGCGTTGGGCCCGATATCCAGGTTGTGAATGATGTCAATCATGAAGCGCCGCATGGTCTCGAACTCAAAGGGGCGGACGCTGCGTGAGCTGTCAATCACAAAGACAATGTCCAGGGGGCCAGTCTTACACTTTGTCGTCCCTGGAGAAGGGAAATAAGAGAGATCTCATTTCACAACTTTCTCTACCAAGGTGGAGAAAACTTCTGGCCCTCCAAGTATTTGTTGGACTCCAGCTCCCACCATCCCTGACTATTGGCCATGCTGGCTGAGACTGACGGGAGCAACATTTACTATTTACTTATCACATTTGTATGCCACCTTCTTCCTCTAAGGAGCTCTGGGTGGTGCACATGGTTTGCCCCCCTCCTCATTTAATCCCCACAAAAACCCTGTGAGGTAGGTTAGGCTAAGGGGCAGTGCCTGGCCCAAGGTCACCCAGTGAGCTTCATGGTCTCTCATGTGTGCATGGTCCAGTATAAATCCAACATCAATGACATGCCGCAGAATACCCCCTCAAAAAACCCAGAAGTTATTATGTTCCTTTCGTGAGAATGAATTCACAGGCTACTCCTTGCTATGCTTAATACAGCTCTGATTCAATTGGTATCTGTTGTCTATATATCTTTTCGACTGGCAGCTTACCTAGGAGTTTCGGTCGGGCTTCCAATGCTGTAAAGGCAAGGAGGAGGAGAGGGGCAATATATAGCAGCTTCATCATTCAGTTTCGAGACTGCAGAATCCCAGGAAGAAGTCTAAAGGATTTTCTGGGGGGAAAGAGAGAACATCCAATGAGATTCTGCAATGCTTCCTTCACCTTTTCTGCACTCTGCGCTGTTTTAGGCTGCAATCCTTACCACGTCTACTCAGAAGTGAATCCTATTCAAGTCAATGGGGCTTGCTCCCAGGTAAGTGGGAGAATAAGGACTGCAGCCCAACTCCCAAATCAGAATTTTGAAGGTAAGCATTCCAACTTGCTATGTGAAATAGTGAACTGTGCAAGTACAAACAACAGCACAATCCTAAGGATGTTTTACTCAGAAGGAAGCCCCATGGAGTTCAGCAGGCCTTACTTCCTGGTGAGTGTGTGCTTAGGATTGAGACCACCACCATCATCTGCTTTTGATCTGTGCTGGGGGAAATAAGCAGACACAGATCCAGTGCCTGGATCCATTTTGGAACACAACATAAGTCTCCATGTCCTTTCAGCAACTTTGCAAATTTCAGCACGTTGAGCTCCAAGTTACTGAACAAAGTACTCTTAATGCAAGGGCATTTCACCAGCACCAGCACCGCCCCCCAAATTTTGTGGTTTAGTAGTATTGCTGCAGAAATACTGTGTTACAGTTCCACATCCATAAGGCACTGTGAAACGGCAGTCTGCCTTTCAGACACAGAGCTGTCCTGGCAGCTGGACAAACCTTGTTTCAGCATATAAACCGGGAACAATTTATTGAGGACAGGCAGTCTTTTCAGCTTCCTTTGAGCCAAGCATCTTGCGTAGGCTTCTGAAGGGCAGAAGAAGACTACAAAAAGGAAAAGCCCAACTGTCAGCCCTATACTCAAGATGCTATGGAAGGAAGTTACCACTCTTGAGTATCAGAGCCAAACTGCACATAATGTTGGTCACGTACGTAGCTGTGCTCTTAAGTGCGGGGGCTGTTGGTGTTTTGGCAAATAGCTAGCATGGGTTACCTGATCCCTAGTGAGGGGAGTACAGTGATTTAACCCATCCTTTGCACTCCCCTCCCTTAGCTAACATTGTGCGATGCCAGGCAGATATGACCCTGGCCAAAGCCATGTGGCTTGCATTTGGCACCAAACTTAAATGGCACTGAACACAAGCTGGGAGCACACTTTGCTTGCCCCACACCAGATGTCGTATTAACCCTGGCAGGCCTAATTTGGTCCATGGGCTGGTAATCCTTCCCCATGCTGTAAATCAAGCCACAGAGCAACCCAAAGCAAGGAACAGGATCAGCATCAGACCCTTCCGAGAAGAGGAACTTTCAGTGGGAAAAGAAGGGCTAGCAAGGGGAGCAATTTGAGACATACCGAGGTGAGGACAATGCAAGGATGGGCACCTTGCCCAGCTTGGCAAGAGTAGATAGGTTATCTGATCTGGAGCAGCAGAAAGCAAATAATGAGCAGAGCTCTGGAGATGAAATGTGACAGAGATAAAAGAGAAATTGGATGGCCCCAGCTCTTTGCTTTCAAGGATACAACTCTACCGATTGTTAAGGTCATGCCCCTGGGCCAAGAATCACACTCTCCCCACCACAGAGGCATAGCTCTCCTGTGATCAAATTCAGGATAAGCTTCTAAGTCTCTTGCTAGATGACCTTGGATGGTTTTCATGGAAGCATATCCAGGGTGCTGCTCTCAATGGACTCACAGACAGCAACCGAGCATTTCAGGCTCTTTTGGGAATAGAAACAGACAGATAGCCATTCTAAGGCCCAGTTTGTGGGACCAAGAATGAGCTATGTGCCTGCATGTAGCAGCTGAATCCTACTAGGCTTTACCTACCTAAATTGCAGAGTTGGGAAAGGTTCAGAAAAGGACGACCAAAAGATCAAGGGTTGGAGCTACTCTCCTATGAGGAAAGGTTGTAGCGTTTGGAACTTGGAAGGTTAACTACAGGCATCTGAGAACAAAGTGCTGGAGTAGATGGACCACTGGCCTGATCCCGGAGGCTCTTCTTATGTTCTTATGTAACTGTTCCGCAGCATGGTGAACAAATTCATTTGGGTTGTTTTATTAGCTCTTCCTGCTAAATAAATTTACCGAAGAATTGTGCAACACAGCATTGTGCAATACTCACGAAACCACAATTCACATAGCAATGGTAGCCGCAGCTTGGGGGGAGAGGATTGCATTTTCAGCAGAAACAACTTTTTATATCTAAGAGCGGGGGGCGGGGGGGAATGCAATTTTGCTACAACAGAAGCATCTGGAGAAATGACCCAGATTGCTCCCCACAGAAGCTGCTAATATTTAGGATAACTGCAAACTGTCCCCAAAAGACTCCCAAAGTTTAATGACATTATGGAAATAAGGGCTTTGGCCAAAAATCATGGCTGAAATTGCTTGCAAACCCATGAGGTTGGGAAACGGTTTTCCAGCTTTCTAATAAGAGGGATAAGCGTTGAATTCTAAAAAAGAAAAAAAAGATGTGGTGTTTTGATATATCCACCAGGGGCCACTGCAATGCACAGCAGCTTAAGCCTGCTGGTTTCCTTACTGGCTCTAGGGAGGATTTGTGAATGGGGAAAGAAGAGTGACAACCTTGGCAAAAGGCAGTCAAAGGGAGCTTCTGCTTTCCCCCACGAGGAGATAGTTGGGAAGGGAAGGTTTAAAACACTCCTCCTGCTGCAATCTTGAAAACAATTGCACCCCCACTCCCCATGATGCATTACCATCAAAAGAGTTATGGGCCCCAAATCCTGGAAGGCACTGCAGGTTGAGTGATGGGGTGAAACTAGCTATCCATGCCACCCAAATGTTATTGTTGGCATCCGCCTGTCTCAGAAGGTAAAGTGATGGGAATCAGCTGTGCATCAAGGGCAGAGGAGGAGCGGGGAGAGAGAACAAGAGAAAGGAGACAGCCCCTTCTGGAAAGGAAAATAATGGAGAAAAGCAAACTTTCTTTGTATTTGCTTGGAAATGGGGGTGTAAGGTGCCTATCTGGCAGGCCTGGGCAACCTTCCGTGGATCTTAAACTAGGTCTGATCTGCACTATATATTTAAAGTAGTATCATACCACTTTAAACAGTCATGGCTTCCCCGCAAAGGATCCTGGGATCTGCTCTTTTATTAAGGGTGCTGAAGAGTTGTTAGGACATACCTCCCTGCCCTCTTTCCCCTCAGTGAGCTACAGTTTCCAGAATGGTTTTACATTTACAATCAATCCCTCTTTTCCCAGGGAACTCTTGCGAACTGTAGCTCCATGAGGGAAATAAGGGTCTCCTAACAACTCTCAAGAGGGACGCGGGAAGCGCTGTGGGTTAAACCACTGAGCCTAGGGCTTGCCGATTGGAAGGTCGGCGGTTCAAATCCCCGTGACGGGGTGAGCTCCCGTTGCTCGGTCCCTGCTCCTGCCAACCTAGCAGTTCGAAAGCACGTCAAAGTGCAAGTAGATAAATAGGTACCACTCTGGCGGGAAGGTAAATGGTGTTTCTGTGTGCTGCTCTGGTTCGCCAGAAGTGGCTTAGTCATGCTGGCCACATGACCCAGAAGCTGTACGCCGGCTCCCTCGGCCAATAAAGCGAGATGAGCGCCGCAACCCCAGAGTCGGTCACGACTGGACCTAATGGTCAGCGGTCCCTTTACCTTTACCTTTAACAACTCTCAGCATCCTTAACAAACGAAGCTCCCAGAATCCTTTGGAGTGAAGCAAATGCAATGAAGCTGTCCTCTGTGCACTTCCAATGGCTGTCTGAACTGCACACGCCTCACTTTTAATTGCAGCTTTTAGATGGAAAACGCTGGAGCATTTCTCAAGAAACTGCAGAATTGTAGCCTACAGATTGTGGCTAACACCATGTCTTTACAGCTTCCAACACTAGTGATGGGAGCAGACTGAAGCCAAAGTAAATAGTAATGTGTGCGCAGCCTGAGAGAAACCAGAACTAACAAAAAATTGTCCATCCCTACACTGGTCACCTGAAAAGGGGGAGCGATCAGTTCTTTAGACTGCAATCTAAACATATTTACTGGGATATAAGCATCACTGAGCACAATGGTGCCTACTCCTGAGTAAATATACATAGATTTGCTCCGCTAATCTTTCTCAATGTTCAAACGCTGCCTGGTCACCAAGAGGTGAATTTTATCCTCCACAGGCAACTAGGCTATTAACTCTGAACAGTGGCCCATTCTACAGATTTTCCCCATCATCCATAAAACAGCATTCAAAATTACCCTTCAAATGACCGCAAGCTAAACAAGATTTTGTTCACTGCTCCTAATCATTTTACACCTTGTCACTTCATGCCATTTCCTCATTTCTAAGAATTTGTATTGAGCACCTACAGTTAATCTAAAGGCTCTCTTTGTACGCATACAATATTCTCTCTTTGCACCAGAAAGCTTTCCTCCTTCATGAGTCTTCAAAGTTTGACACAAATTTGTCTCTGAGCCAAAAAGCAAACCCAAACACCTCCATTCATACAGCTGTCAGTTAAGAAAATTGGCAATTTTTCATTCATTGGGAACTGAATGCTCCCCAAGGGGATGTCAGGTGATCCCGGTTCCTTCTGAGCATCAAAAGATTCTAGTCAAATGGGGTTTAAAATGCAAATATATGCTAAGGAAAACATGCCAAAAAAGCAATTAAGGAAATCACATCTGAACTATTCTAACCAGTAAGACTTTACTCAGGCAAGCCATTTTTGAGAAGGAGAAAAACTGCCTTTGCAAAAAAGAAGAAGATTTTTTTGGGAGTCTTAAGGTCTCGCAGACACAAAAAGAATCAGACAAGGTTGCTTACATTCATGATCTGGCCCCCTATCCATTAGCGGATCCAGTGACATTTATCAGGACTCTTGAACCACAAGCAGGAAGACTAAAACATACATCCACAAACCAATCCTACCCATGTTTACTTAAGAATAAGTCTTGTCGGCTAATTAAATACTTAGATTAAATGCTAATTAAATGCTTGGACTGTGTTTTTATTCCTCTACGAATGAAGCTGCAATCCTAAACATCTTATCCCATTCTTCAATAGAGTTTACTTCTAAGTTAGTGTATACAATTGCAATCTTAACCCCACTTACCTGGGAGTAAGTATGTTTGCATTCAATAGGACTCATTTCTGAGTGGACACAGTCAAGATTGTGCTATCTTAGGCTGTGATCCTAAACAACAGTAGGGCCCTATGCATGTCTGCTAAAAGTAAGCTCCAGCGACTTATTATTGGGGCTTATTACCATGTAAATTTTTAAAAGATTGCAACCTAAGTCCCTTTGAAATCAGTGTGTTGAGTAAGTCTCTATAGAACCAAGAAGTTCACAAAATATATTGTCCAGTAATCAAGAATACTCTAAGTCTACAGTGACTTCTATTATTTAGGTAAAGGTAAAGGACCCCTGACACTTAAGTTCAGTCGCAAACGACTCTGCGGTTGCGGTGCTCATCTTGCTTTACTGGCCGAGGGAGCTGACATTTGTCCACAGGCAGTTTTTCTGGCTCATGCTCTGGCGAAACCAGAGCAGTACACGGAAACGCCATTTACAGTGGTGCCCCGCAAGACGAATGCCTCGCAAGATGAAAAACCCGCTAGACGAAAGGGTTTTCCGTTTTTCGATGCGCTTCACAAGACGAATTTCCCTATGGGCTTGCTTCGCAAAACAAAAAAGTCTTGCGAGTCTTGCGATTTTTTTCGCTCCCCCCCCTTTTTCTAAGCCGCTAAGCCGCTAATAGCCTTTTAGCCGCTAAGCCTTTAATAGCCGCTAAACCGCTAATAGTGCTAATCCACTAAGCCGCTAATAGGGTTGCTTCGCAAGACGAAAAAACCGCTAGACGAAGAGATTCGCGGAACGGATTAATTTCATCTTGCGAGGCACCACTGTACCTTCCTGCCGGAGCAGTACCTATTTATCTACTTGCACTTTGACGTGCTTTAAAACTTCTGGGTTGGCAGGAGCTGGGACCGAGCAACGGGAGCTCACACCATCGCGGGGATTCGAACCGCTGACCTTCAGATCGGCAAGCCCTAGGCTCAGTGGTTTAAACCACAGAGCCACCCGATGCAAGGTTCAAATGATATATATTAAGTGCAAATCATTAGATTTCCCCACCCCCCTTGGGGCCTCATTTACTATTGATACTAGCACCATCCATGAAGGAAAAGTCTCCCGCCTGTCTTTGATTCTTCCTATCTCTTTCCTTCCCCATATCTGATCTGACTGGTCATCAGGTGTGGTGCTTAGAATGTTAAACTAGGACCAGAGGGGCCTGACTTGTTTGTAACTGGGGAGGGGGAGACCCAGGAACACCACTTGAGCTCCTTGGAAGAAAGGTGGGACGTAACATAATAATAAATTTTAAATGTATAATGTCACTTGACTCCACAGAACACGGCAAAAACCTGTCTCTTTCCTCTCTGCCCCTTCAGTTAAAAAACCCTGGAATATACTCTAGTTCTGCCCTGAAGCAAGCAACTCTTAAACAGCTCCATCCACTAGACCTGCTGCCCTTCGTGCCTGGAATTTCCTCCCAGAATACCATCTTGGTGCCACAGAATTTTTCTCTCTGTTCAAAGCCTTCCTCCAAGCTCCCCTCTGACATGAGGCCCTTTCTTACTCCTGACTCCATGTTTCTTTTCTATCCCTCTGTTATTTCCCCCCCCACCCCAATCACCTAAATTCACACTCTTTGAGCCAGATTCTTGGTATGAGGAAAATAACGGCCCAACAGATCGTCTGGATTGTGTGGCGATGTTTCTAGGCATCCTTGTTCAAATTAACACATGTGGAAGTTTCCCCCGTTGCAAGCCGCATCAAAGTACATCCACATCTGTTTTGTGTAAGTACCTCAGAGCTGAACTAAAGCGCTATTCGGCCATTTGTCTTCTGGGTTAAATCAACATGCAGGCAGGGAAGAGAAGTCTAGATTCCCCCATCACCACCATCCCTCGGAACATCTGTTGTGGAGAGCCTGGTTTACTCATGGAGGGACCCTGATTTTTCAGGATTTGATCTCGTGCAAAGACTCTACATAAGAACAGCCTCCCTCTGCAGTCACCCTCCATCTCAGAGGGTAGAGGGGGCAGTGATGAAGGGGGACAGAGCTAGCAGAAGCCATATAGATTCTTCCTCTCACCTATTGATTTAACCCTGTGGATGAACGTTTCAAAGAATCATAGAGTTGGAGGGGACTCTGAGGATCATCTAGTCCAACCCCCTGAAATGCAGGAATATGAATGAATGCAGGGGCAAAGGCATTTTTGGCATCCCCTGGAGAAAGTACCATGAAGGCAGCTTTGCTGCTTGCACCTCAAAAGGAGTTGTGCCCAGCCTCCAGCGCCACCCTGGAATATTTATTTACTCATTTGTTTGCTGCCTTTCCGTCCAAGCAGGGCAGGGCACTATGCATGGTTCTCCCCTCTTCTTATCCGCCCAACAACCCTGTCAGGTAGGTTAGACGGAGAGGCAGGGAGTGGTCCAAGGTCGCCCTGCGAACCTCATGGCTGTGTGTGGGGATTTGAACCCGGGTCTCCCATTTCCTAGTCCGACACTCTAACCACTGGACTGTGCTGACTCACTGAACAGAAACAGGAGCAGGACTCTTATCCTGCTCTAATGTGAGTGGTGTGGGGCAGATATATGCCAATCCTCTTCATGTCATACAACTAAAGCTGTTCTCAGAGAGAAACAGCTGCTAAGCAGAGGAAGAGGGATATGAGGCTGAAGGTTAAAATCCCACTGAAATGTCACAAAATAGCAAGCAAGTTTTCAAATCCAGCTGAACTTTTTGTCAGACTGGATGTCAAGGAAAGCCAGGGACTGTAGGGACATGAGAAAAAGCTTCACTTCCTGTTGATGCCATAATATCACTGCATGGACAGCACCTTCACCTTCCATTACCCCTCTGTCCCAGACACTCCAGGGATGGAGTGATGAGCCACAGAGCCCGTCAAAAAGTCATGTGGGTTAGCTTAATTTTGGACTCACACACGGTGAGAGAAAACCTCAGCTTCTACAAAAGCCATTTGCACGGAACACTTTCTACTTAAAAAAAACAACCCTGCACTGTTTTTACCACTTCTTAAATTATTATTATTTCTCTCCCTCTCCCCCTTTGGCAATGCAGCAATAACCACAAAAATTGTTTTGGGCAGCTGTGCCATGCATAACATTTCTTGCATTCTACCATGTCCAAAGCTTGCTTCAATGACTGGGTGGCAAGCAGCCTGATTCTGTCTGGGTCCAGGTCATTTCGAAAGCTCAACTAGAGAAAGCAAAACTTGAGAAAAAGAAACAAGAGAAGAAGTGAGATGTTTATTTAAAAAATGAGGAGAGAACCAATTTATTTTAACCAGAGGGGAATCACATGGTAATACTGCTGACCATCCCTACAGGATTATAGTAAGCATTAGTGTGTGTGTGTGTGTGTGTGTGTGTGTGTGTGTGTGTAATGAAACTGAATACAGACAAGAGAGAGGTGCTGCGTGTTGCAGGCTCTCAAGTGTGCAAAGTGAGTGGACAACCTGTTATGAATGGAGGTGGCGCTCCCCCAGACAGATTAGGTCAGTAGGCTGGGCATGCTTCTTGGCCAACTAATGTTGCTTGAGGGTCAGGTGGCTTCAGTGGCTACGAGCGACTGTCTCAAACTATGGGCCTTCCTTGGCAGAGAAAGCTTGGCTGCAGTGCTCCATGCTCAGATAACCTCAAGAATGGACTACTGCAATGCACTCCACATGGGCCTGCCCCTTGAAGACAGTTCGAAAGCTGCGACTGGTGCAGAATGCAGTGGCCGGGATTCTGGAAGACAGGACCGGTCCCAAATATCTCAAGGAGTGCCTCCTCCCATACAAACCTACCCCAGAATCAAGATCTGCAGGGGAGGCCCTATGAGTTTCCCTGTGACAAGGTCAAGATGCAGCTTTTTCAGCAGGCCTTGGCAGGGATGAGGGAAGAGGTTGGTACATCCCTCCCATTTACATGCAACCCAATCTAGGACCCCATTACAAAGTGTGAGCTATAGATACCTATGAATGAATGAGTAAATAAATCAATTTGACCGCTCAGATGTACCATACTATATTTGGGGAAGGACCATAGCTCAGTGCTACAACATTTCCTGGCAGGCAGAAGGTCCAGGTTCAATCCCCAGCGTCTCCAGGTAAGGTTAGGAGACTCCTTCCTGAAACCTTGGACCGCAAGTTGGCATAGACCAGGGGTCATCAAACTTTTTCAGCAGGGGGCTGGTCCACCGTCCCTCAGACCTTGTAGGGAGCCAGACTATATTTTGGGGGGGTGAACAAATTCCTATGCCCCACAAATAACCCAGATGCATTTTAAATAAAAGGACACATTCTACTCATGTAAAAACATGCTGATTCCCAGACCGTCCGCAGGCCGGATTTAGAAGGCAATTGGGCCGGATCCGGGCCTTAGTTTGCCTACCCATGGCATAGACAATGGGGATGGGGGAAAAACTCAATCCAATTCACGTTTGAAGATCAATTTATTCAATTGGCACTTTCGAAAAGATGTGGGACTTGAAACACAGCCATCCTTTAGCCCAAGGGACACATCCCTTGCAGGCAGGCTGCAGGCAGGTGATGGTGGGGGTCAGATGCAAAAATGGGAGGTGTATCAGACATGATTCTGACCTTTGCAATGGGCTACCTTCCAGCCATGAAAAGACCAGAGGTTTCTGAACATATTCGTTTCTACACGCATCTATATACACCAGAGGTATCTCTCAGTCCTGACAAACAAACAACTCCACAGTTCAAGGACACACTCAAGCCAGGAAAAAAGCATTCAAGAAGGGGAATAAGGGGATAGAACAAGGACAGTCCCAAGGGCCCAATAGGTAGTCCTGGAGAGCCCCATCCAGTTCCCAGGGCTCTCCACCCCTTGTCCTAAGCAGCAGGGGGATCTGGGCCCAGAGGCAGAGTGAGTGGGCAACAGCAAGAAGGGGAACAAGGAGGAGACCTGCTTATTGCCCACAAGCCTGCTCCAAAAGAATCCCAAACAAAACCTGGAACCAGCATTGCCCTCAACTCCCCGCCCCCAATGCTGCAGCCGTTGTTCGGTGGTAGTGGAAGGTTTGTGAGAAGCCAGGAGCAGGAAAGCAGCTGGGGAAAGGATGTGCAAATATTGAGCAGCAGTGGAAGCATTTGAGCAACAGGCCTTGGAGATTGTGGGCTGTTGTTTTTTTATTGTTAAAAAAAAGAGCTCTGCTGCAAAGCCAAGGATATTCCAATGGGTTGTCTAAAGCAAAGACCTTCACAACCTGTGCGGAGGGGATAAGGGTATTTGTGTTTGGGCAAAGCTGGTCAAGAGATAAGTGGCTCTACTGGAAAAGCAGCCTATGATTCCTAATTTTAAAAAGGCATGATGCAGGCGGGGGGGGGGGGGACTCCACAGAATTTGGGAGCAGCCAAAAAGCTTATCTCGGCCAGCAGTCCCCTTGCCAGTGCATAAAAAGAAGCCAAGACAGAGAAAGCCAAAGAGCGAATGGAGGCTGCAGGTGGTGCATTTCAGTTCCTGGAATGATCAAAAGCTAGAAGAAGGGGTCCCTGATCACATAATGGAGCCAGGTATGTCAATGTGAAACCCAATAGGAGTCCTGGCTCTCTCCCTCTCACTGCTCTACCCAGCAATGTCTTGCCCTGTTCCCATTTCGTACTGTCTGGACTAACAGCCAAATCCTGAGCTTCAAGAAAAGCAGCCGCTTTGGGTTTCAGTGTGGCCTGCCTGGTCAATTCTTTATTTAATCTTTTTTTCCTCCCCTTTGCTGGATGCTGGTTAATAGAAATGCTTTGAATATTCCAATTGTGAATCACACGGGTGAATACACTGTCTGCCCCAGAGCATAGCAGAATAACACACAGCAAAGTTTCTGGGCAGGATTCTCTTCCAGGTTTACCTGGAGATGCCAGGGATCAAAACTGGGAACATCTGTTTACATGGCAGCTTCTCTGCCACTAAGCTATGGCTCTCACTTCTTTGGTAAAGAAAGTTACAATCATAAAATCATAGAGTTCATAGAATCATCTAGCCCATGCTTCCTCAAACTTGGCCCTCCAGATGTTTTTGGCCTACAACTCCCATGATCCCTAGCTAGCAGGACCAGTGGTCACAGATGATGGAAACTGTAGTCTCAAAACATCTGGAGGGCCAAGGTTGAGGAAGCCTGATCTAGTCCAACTCCCTGCAATGCAGGAATCATTTGCCCAACGTGAGGCTCAAACCCATGACCCTGAGCATGAGAGTAAGAGTCTCATGCTCTACCGACTAGGCTATCCTCAGTTAAAACATTCCACAGTATATCTAGCATGGAATATACTCGGACAGTGTCTTGGACAGTGATTCTGATGCAGAAGAATCCTTTACTGTGGTGGCACCCCAATTATGAACACCTCCACACATGCTTTTTTCCAGTGCCAGCTCAAAATTCATTCATCAGTTTACTAAAGGCATTTTTAGGATGCTAGCTGTGAAATTATTTTGAAGTATGAAGCCGCTTCAGTGCTTTTGGAGAGTGCTGTTATTTACTGTGTTTTTAATTCCTGGTGGCATTTATGGTCGTTTCTGGAATTTAATGCATTTGTGGTTTTATGTTCTGTATTTTACTCTGCTTCGTAGCCAGCTCTGGTATAGTTTTGGATGGAAGACTAGGTTAGAAATAGTTTAGCTACACAAATAAATACATAAAACCCTCAATGCACATGCAACAGAAGGAATGCCCAGTGACTCAGTGGGAGGGGTCCCTCCATTCCCCCAAGAAGAGCCAGCACTGCTTGGGCATAACTGCATGTGTGAAGGCTTCCAAAGGTAAAGGTAAAGGTAAAGGACCCATGACAGTTAAGTCCAGTTACGAACAACTCTGGGGTTGTGTCGCTCATCTCGCTTTACTGGCCGAGGGAGCCGACGTTTGTCCGCAGACAGTTTTTCCAGGTCATGTGGCCAGCATGCCAAAGCCACTTCTGGCGAAACCAGAGCAGCGCATGGAAACGCCATTTACCTTCCCGCTGGAGTGGTACCTATTTATCTACTTGCACTTTGACGTGCTTTTGAACTGCTAGGTTGGCAGGAGCAGGGACCGAGCAACTGGAGCTCACCCCGACCTTCCAATCAGCAAAACCTAGGCTCAGTGGTTTAGACCACAGCGCCACCCGTTTGTAACTAGCCAAATTAATACAGAGCGAGTGGGAGGGAAGGGGGTAGTGGGGGCACACAGTGATGGAGGTGGGGCTAGCCAGCGAGGCCCCCCTCATCAATTTCATCAATGTGTAAGTTCCAGCTTCTGAAAAGAGCTTGATGAGCACTACCCAGAGGGTTGACTCCAGCAAAGTCAATGCCTTTGTGCATTGAAATTGTTCCACAAACTCAATGACTTCACTGCATACAACCCAGATTCACCCACTGCAGGTCACCCAACTCCTGCTTGGTGGCTTCCTAGACTTGTGCCAGTTCCGAGTGCCTATTCTGAGTGTTGAGCACCAAGCACACCGGGCTGGCTCACCTAGGCGAGTCTCTTCTGGACACAGGACAGCTGCATTCCTAAGTACCTCCTGCCTCATGTTAGAAAGTGTGGTTATACCTTCTTCTGAGTGTTACTGTGCTTTAACAAGGTTAGAATGTTTCAGGGAAAGCTGGCCAGGGGCTGTGCTGGGCGCACAGCTTGAGATGTTATGTAAACAAAGAGAAAGGAACAAGCGCCACGAGGATGGCCAGCAACAGCTTTGCCTCTCGACCTCTAAAAGTGCCACAGTGGGGAATGACAACTAGCTTAGCCCAACACACGGCACTGAATGCTTCCCACCAGGCATGGTAATTATTTTTCCATACCTCTTTGCTCTTTGCCCCGTCCCCAGCCTGGCAAACCCACTGCAAACGGCTGAAACATGAACCTGCCTTTGCCTTCCTGACACAGTGACAAATTGTTTCCCACGTGGAAAGCCTGAGCTAGGCTCCCCGGCTCAGCTCCCTCGCAGCCCAAATCAGCAGCGAGTGAGAGAGCTGAACAAAAAGCTCTTTATTAAAACAGAGAGATTGTTTTACCTTTTATGTTCTGCAGAGCAGGAGCTGATTTCTTCTGATTTCGAGCCAACCTGTTTTAACTTGCGCCAAATTATTACCCTAGTGAAGGATTAAAAACGGTACTCTGAAACCGGCATGCATGTGACACCCATGTTGAGGGACCCAGGTCACATCCACAGCATTCATTTAATGCATATGGTTCTCCCCACCCAAAGAATCTTGGGAACTGTAGTTTGTGGGGGGCTTCAGAGGGCCTGGAAATGCTCTGCTACTGTAGCTGTTCAGTGCTGTTTTGTGTGAGTTTCCCATCAGCCTTCTTCCTACCCACAATGATGTAATCACACAAGCCATCACCATGTCGCTAAGTTGGCCTTCCCCATCCTGGTGCTATCTAGACACAGCTGGGTTCCAGCTCTCATCAGCCCCAATGGTCACGGATGCTGGGGGTTGTAGCCCCATACCATCTGGAGAGCATCCTGTTGGAGATGGCTGGGCTATGTGATGCCCATCACTATGGGCAAATAGAAATCCTTCAGAATAATTGTATGCTGGTTGGAAATGCAGCAGGAAGAGAATATCGTGAAAGCAGCAATCAACAGGGCCTTCAAAGAGGATCTGGAGAACCCACATAATGCCAGGCACCTGAGAGAAGAATGCTGAAGGTGTTGGGGTGCAGAAAAATGGACACTTCTGCAACTTGTCATACACACCCCTAAAAATTGGGTGAAATTGGGAAGTAGGTATTTCAAGAAGTGTTCACAATATGCACACATGCCTGCTTCAGCTCAGATCTCAGCACTGACTTGAACTGTCTTCAGGACTCCCAATATACCAGCATGCAGGAAGATGTCTAAAATGCTTCTCGCATGTGTGAAGGTTTCACTCTCCATGACACACAGCCAGGAACTCCAGTCTGATCCTCTCTTCTGTCGAAATTATTACAAGCGTTGTATTCATTCAAGGGTGGGTTTGTGGATTTTCCCACAGGCATCAGCTTGGCTACTGTGAGAACAAAACACTGAACTTGATGGGCCTTTGGTCTGATTCAGCACAGCTCTTTTTGTGTTCTTACAACATTCAACAAGGCTGCAATCCTAATCCCAATTACTTGGGAGTAAAACCTACCAAATTTAATGGGGTTTGCTTCTGAGGGGACATAGTTAGGATTGCAGCCGTAGGCCCAGATGTGCGGAGGAGACACATAACAGTAATGTAGTTCGGAAAAGCACCCTCATGTGTTCTATCAGCTACTGTAAAAACTGTCAACACCACTATCCTGTCATCAAATCTTTATCATTCCCACGATCACTTCGTACTGATTCAATGAAAATTGCTTTATGCCATTTTGATTCTGTTAGCCACCTGGAGCAACTTAATGCAAAGCTGAGATATGTAAATATGGAGTTAGGATAATGTGCATATAAGCAGGTGTCAAAATTCAGCACAAAGTCTTGCTAGGGAGCACCATATTCATTCACATTTGGCTTCCTTAAACCAAAGAATTAAGCTTCCATGTGTATCTGGTGGAATGATGTTGGTTCACCAGAAGAAGGTGCAAAGAGACTTACAGCACAATACTATGGATGTCTACTCGAAAGTTATGTCCCATTTAGCTCAATGAAATTTATTCCCAGGTAATACTGGGAATTGTAAACGGCATTTCCGTGTACTGCTCTGGTTCGCCAGACGCGGCTTAGTCATGCTGGCCACATGACCCAGAAGCTGTCTGCGGCTCCCTTGGCCAGTAAAGCAAGATGAGCGCTGCAACCCCAGAGTTGTTGGGACTGGACCTAACGGTCAGGGGTACCTTTACCTTTGTACTGGGAATCGTAGCTATGTGAAGGGTAAAACAGAGTTCCCAAGATTATCTGGGGTAAGCCATGTGCTTTAATACTTGGGAGTAAGCCCCAATATACACAGTAAGACTTACTTAAGAGTAAATATAGAACGGAACTGCTTATTCACAATCTTTAGTAAGGCATTCAGGTTTTAGATGGGTATCTTTCTTAGTCCTACCATAGGTCTACAAAGTCATAGTTCAACACTCTAAATTACTTCACCAAAGCAGCTCTAGAGAAGCATTAAGGAGAGATACTGCTCAACAGTGAGACCTCTTTGGGCAATATGGTTTGATGCTTACCAAAAACCCACCCTAACTTGCACATTTCGATGGACACTGCCCTCATTAATTTTCTGTTCTGGGGTGTCACTAGAACTGGCTGCTTTGATCTTCCCACGAACATTTGGATTTTCCATTTGTGTACACATCTCTGCTGGTTACAGGGATCAAAAGCGTGGCGCAGGGACCCTGTGCAGTAAGCTGGTAGGAATGCAGGCATCTTGTCCAAGTTCCTTTGCAGACTGAGAGGAGTATCTAAATCACAGTCTCAGGCCAGCTTTGTGAGTGAATTTACTGTACTCTGTGCCCTTTAGCTTTTAAGTAAAGGGTGAAGTTTGCAGTACTTCTGGAAAAGGGAATGAATCTCAGCAGTGAAACTCTGGGTGGGTTTCCTCTTCTTCTGAGCTTTTGCGGGTTTTGCCTAAGATAAAGTTGCTTCCCTATCAAATATCTGCCTGTGACCGAGCTAAGCTGCAGCATGACTCTTGTCTAACCCGTGCAATTTTGGAAACACACATGCGCAGCAACTGAAAGCCTAAATTCTCTTCTAAGCATTTCTGAGGTTTTGAACAGTTTGAACAAATAGGATTTAACTCTGCAAATGCTATATGCTGCTAGACATCAGAATGTCAATTCCCTTGGGAACAACCTTTGGAGATCAAGAGGTGATCCTGCACAAAGCACTGCATCCCCAGGAGAGCTCTTGCACCAGGAGCCACAATGGGTACCAGCAAACGGCCTGCTTAGGCAGCCCCATAAGGTCTCACTGCTGATGTCTGTCCTTTAGCTCATGGGTAGGCAAACTAAGGCCTGGGGGCTGGATCTGACCCAATCGCCTTCTAAATCCAGCCTGTGGACAGTCCGGGAATCAATGTGTTTTTACATGAGTAGAATGTGCCCTTTTATTTAAAATGTATCTCTGGGTTATTCGTGGGGCCTGCCTGGTGTTTTTACATGAGTGGAATGTGAGCTTTTATTTAAAATGCATCTCTGGGTTATTTGTGGGGCATAGGAATTTGTTCATTCCCCCCCAAAAAAATACAGTCCGGCCCCCCACAAGGTCTGATGGACAGTGGACTGGTCCCCTGCTGAGAAAGTTTGCTGACCTCTGCTTTAGCTGGTGCTCAAATCTGAGTGCCTGGCAGCTGAATAGAGTCATTTTAATTTCTCACAATGCCCTGATGTAATGTTGCTCTGGGGCCTTGCAGAAAATGTAAATGGCAAACCCATTGGAGCACTGCTGCTGTCACCAAGTAAGCCCACTGACATAAGAGAGGGCCGATCAGAAAGCACTTTGCTAAGAGCCCCCTCACACCCGGATCTGGCCCTATCAGTGGCTGCACAGTTTTCATTCTCCATCTTTGCCTTACATAACAGAGAGAGGCCCTGGTCAAGATTTCTCTCCCACCTGCCTCCACTAAATTCCTGAAGATGTAATGGAGCTCCATGAGAAAGCCCTGCAAGCTTGAGGCATTTTTCTATACTCCAGTGCCAATGTATTAGATATCTGGTATGGAGGAAAGGGAGAAGACGTTAGGCAATGCCAGGTTTGCACTGAGAGAGCTGTCAAATCAATTGGAACTAGAGCTGAGTCAAATGTTCTCAGAGGAAGTTTTTTTAATGAGAAAATTTCTGTTTTGTTTTTCTCTCTACCCTTCCCCAGAAAAAGCCCACTTTAAAATAATTTATTTGTGTTTGTTTGTTTGTTTGGTTGTTGGTTCCCCACCACACACACACAATATGCACAGCCTTAGAATAACAACAGGTCCAGGGCACTGTGGGAGCATTTCCCGGGGGGGGGGTGTTACAAAATGGCGGCCAGGTTGCCAACACCATTGTCGCTACTGTCTCTTGCAACAGCAGGCAGGCAGACAGAAAGTTATAGTAGGGAAAGAGAGCTGGGCAGCTACCACTGCTAATTAGAGTGGCCAGTTATGCATTGATGATTTACATGCACGGATGCAAATTTAGAAATAATTACTATTATTTTAAAAGAAGCACAACAGACAATATGCCACTCTGCCACTTCCTTGCAGAGTAGCTGTCTGGACTGGCAGCAGCTGAATCTTACCTAAAAAGTAAAAAGTACCCCTCCTAAAAAGTAAGGTGAAATGTGTGTGTGTCTTATGGGACGAATGCAGGTTGCGCAGCTATCCCAGAAGCCAGAACAGCAAGAGGGATCACTTGCTTTCGCTGCACAGCAATCCCTCTTGCTGTTCTGGCTTCTGGGATTCAGATTTTTTTTTTCTTGTTGTCCTCCTCCAAAAACTAGGTGCGTCTTATGGTCTGGTGCGTCTTATGGAGCGAAAAATACGGTACTTCTTCACGCAGTGCATACTTAAATGATGGAATGTGCTCCCACAAGAGGCAGTGATGTCCACCACCTTGAATGCCTTTAAAACAGGACTGGATGCTTCTTGCCCATTTAGCTCAGTTGGTTAGAGCATGGTGCTGATGGTGCCACAGGTTCGATCCCAGTATGGGACAGCTGCATATTCTATCATTGCAAGGGGTCAAACTAGATTGTCCTCAGGGTCCCCTTCCAACTCTACAATTTTATGATTCTATGAAATTCATGGAGGATGGCAGTACTCTGTCTCCACTGTCAGAGGGAGTATGCCTCTATGAGTACTAGTTGCTGAGAATTATCAGTAGAGAAAGAGAACTGTTATGTTCAGGTTCTTCTTGTATGCTTCCCATCCCATGAGAATAGGATGACTGACTAGATGGGCCATTGGCCTGATCCAGCAGGCTCTTCTTATTTTCTTTCAATCCTAGCAGCATGATGCTGTCCTTCAGCACATCTGAGGACAGCAGAGTAGCTTAGAAGGCATGGGGCTGTGTGGCACACACATCTGCCCTCCCGCAGGCTACCACCACCCCACACACCCTTCAGCATCTGCTGTCTGAGGCAGCCGCCTTGCTTTGCCTAATAGTAGGGCTGGGGCTGGCCCCAGGAGAATCTAATTTTGGGAGGGAGTACTTAATGCTCTTCTTGCCCACCGATTCTTCCCTTCCAACGTCCCCTAGGAAAACAACCTAGGAGGGAAATGAGACTGGGGTTGGAGGGAAGGTTCCGTGGCATTTCTCCCCTGCAAATCTACCTCCTGACTTGTGCATTATCTTGGCAAAAGCAGGTCTGGAAGCAGCCAGGTAGCATGCAATTCTGTTCTTAGAATAACTGTTGTGCCATGTTCACTTGCTGAAAGAAAGGGCGGGGGCATGAAGCTCTTGGTATATATGTAACACCTCCTAAACCCATTTCTATTCCAAGCCCTGTTTTAACAAGGCTATTTCAAAACAATCTGCCCATTTTGCCAAGATGCATGAAGGCGGGGAGTGGGGAGACGACTTCCAACCGCTTTTAAAATATAAAATGTTATATGATACTTAAAGCTATGTCTGTGTTGCAAAAACCCACAGAAGACTAATTCTTCCACCTCACAAGCGGGTAACATAGAAGTGTGAAGGGCGAGTCGTAGGGGCAAGCCTCTGAATGAAACCTTTATGAAGTCCCTGATCCAAATCTGGTGACAGACATTCAGTGGATTGAACCCACATAGTCAAAGCTCCTTCTGTCTGGAGGAAGCTGGAAGAAGGCTGAGGGAGAAGCAGGGAAAACTTAATTGCTCTACAATAATTATAGATCTATATCTGGGGGAACCCTATGTTTCCACAAAAGCTCATCCAGGGATTGGGGAGAGTTCCTCAGTGAGATGATAACACATAGCAGATACAACTTTCCTGAAAACCATTACCAATGTTCTTCCCCTGCAATGTACAACTGCAGGAGGGTATTGGGCTCACGGACTGCCTTTCTCCAGATAAATCATGACCTGTAAACAAGGTCTGTTCTTGGTTTTCATCTCACAGTTTGTCTGGGGAAGACAAAGCACGAGTTTGAATTCAGACACAATGCTAATCCAAACCATGGTTTAGCTCATAGCAGTGTGGCAGCAGCAAGATCAGAGGAATAGGAGCAAAGCTGTCACAGGCAATCTCTCAGTTAATCAGAACGTTTAGCATTATGGGTAAATGATGTCAGTGAGGGCCACCAAGCTTTACAAGTGCCTCTCCTAAGAGTATGCCCTTGCCAGAATATGCCTACATAATCCTCTGCAACACAAAACACCAGGGGTTCTAGAGCAGAGATGTAAAGCAGACCCACAGGCAGAAACCTTGCAAGGCGGAAACCTAAGGCATAGTAGTTCAGGAAGGGAGAATCAATGCAGAGCAACTGGAACCTAAATACTGGCATTGTTCACACTTCACATTAAACCATGGTTTGGCATTATAGGGAGAAGCACAGAAAAGCCTTACGCTTGTATGATTCCCACCCCCACCCCTACTCCACTCTTCCTGTACAACCATAAGGAGATTGGAAGCTTCCATTCATTTTAATTAGCTACAGGGAAGTTTTAAGGTCTGATCCGTGAGATTTTTGAAATATTGAGCAATCTACGAATGCTTTTTAAACAAACAAACTGTGGTGAATCTCAACTATGGTTTGTGGAAACAAGGCACATTCTTATTTTTGGTATGGTATCTTTGTAAACCACTTATGAACAACTGTTTCTTCGCAGTAGGGCTGTAGCTCAGTGGTACAGCATCCTGCTTTACACGCAGGAGTCACCGGGTTCAATTCCCATCATCTCCAGGCAGGGCTGAAAGAGAGCCTTGTCTAAAAACCCTGGAGAGCCGCTGCCAGCCAGTGCAAACAAAACTGAGCCAGACTGACTTGTAGCCTCACTCAGTGTTAGAAGCTTAGATATATGAGCTAATCACCAAATGGAACCTTAAACCAAGGTTACAGTCACCACAACAGAATGTCTAGGCATCTTTTGTTTGCAGTGAAATTTATTATTACGGTTACAGTGGTACCTCGGGTTACAGGTGCTTCAGGTTACGCGATTTTGGGTTGCGCACCGCGCTGATCCTGGAAGTACCGGAACGGGTTACTTCTGGGTTTCGGCGCTCGCACATGCGCAGAAGCACTAAATCATGCTTTGCGCATGTGCAGAAGCGCCGAATCGTGACCCGCGTGTGCGCAGATGCAGTGCTGTGGGTTGCAAACGTGCCTCCCTCATGGATCACGTTCGCAACCCGAGGTTCCACTATATTATTATTATTATTATTACTACTATCATCATTATCATCATCATTTCCTTACCACTTTATATTTTAAATAAGAAAATCTCAAAGCGGTTTACAGCACATTAAAACATCAAATAAAACAAACCAGAATAAAACACATTCAAGCTTCAAGTAAACTATTTCAGATCCTTCTCTAAGTGATAGTTTGCTTTTCCCATATTTAGTTGCCTAGTTAATTTATACAGCAGAAGCACTCTAGGAAACCAGTGTGGCATAGTGGCTAGAGCAGGCATAGGCAAACTCAGCCCTCCAGATGTTTTGGGACTACAACTCCCATCATCCCTGACCACTGGTCCTGTTAGCTATTTGCCTATGCCTGGGCTAGAGTGTTGGACTAGGGCTGGGAGATGAGGGTCCAACTCTCCATCCATCATGAAGCTCACTGGGTGACCTTGGGCCAGTCACAGTCTCTTAACCTACCTAACAGGGTCGCTGTAGGGATTAACTTGGGTGGGTGGGGGGTGCAAACCATGTACTCCTTGGAGGAAAAGATGGAGTATAAATGCAGTGACTAAGCTCTTCTTCTTACCTGCTTAAGAAAGCTGGAGGGGCCAGCCAGGTAGAGATGTCAGTTGACAACCTGGCACCCAGATATCTCCATGTGGTTGCAACTGGACCTGTGCCAGTTGCAAACCATGCCTGGGGGATTGCTATCACTGGTCGGACTCAGTATAAGACAGCTCCCCATTTCCCAGCCTTGTTCTGCACCCACTTTGAGTGCTTTTGCCTAACTGCAACGCGTGCTTGAAAAGTGGTTATCCCTCTTGCTTATCTAGATGGAAGTTGGAGAGAGGCGTATGCCACCCACTTTTGCAATAGGTCTTGGAATGCCAGCAGTGGGACAGAGGCAAAGAAGAGGGTCATAGGTGTTAAGCTGTGGGCGAACATATCAGACGACACAGCGATTCTTCAAACAGCTCTTCTGAACTGAACTGAACTGAGCTGAAGGGCTCAGTCAGCCTGCTTATATAGAGCTCCAGTACCTTGTTACTGTAACAACTTTCTAAAACTATCCAATCACTGAACGTCACTTTCGATCCTTCATTTGCATAACTATCTACAGTATCCCCCTGCTGGCCCAGGGTGAGAACTTCACTACATAACAATAGGAAGTTGTCTTATTCCAAGCCAGACTGTGCCATGGGCATTTAAAAGATGGAACAGAAGCCTGCTATTCTATGTGCACTTACCTGGGATTAAGAACCACCAAATATGATGAGACTTATTCCCAAGTCAATATACATAAGCTTTGCACCATTAACTCACCCTAAATCAGAGCACTCCAGTCTAAGCACTTAGCAGATCAAGTATCTCTTATTTGTTCTCCCAGCAGCGGCAGACTATAACTCATCTATGCCAGCTACTTTCTTCAGATATTGCAGCCACACACTTGAGAGCAGAGCAACCCCCCTCCCACCTCTCAAAATGAGGTTAGATGCATACCTAGGAAATTTTAGCAAAGGGCCCCTGTTGGAGACACTGAGGAATGTTTTAAGCTTTGCTTGAGAAGCCTGGCAGGAAACCTCAGGAGACGTATTGAGTTCTGAACAACCGAAGGACAAATTCACACAGAATTCTATTTTAAAGAAATACCATTGTCTGCTGAAAAAGGAATCCAAAAGAAAAGAAAAGACTCTCTCACCAAATGGCGTCTGATGAAATAATAATAATTTGTAAAGGAGGGAAAGATATCTTTCTTTTTTCTTCCTTTTTTTTGGTTTTAAAGATTTGAACAACAGTTCTTCCAGATGGCTTCAGTAAAAGCCTATTAGTTTAGGTAGATAGTGTCATTTTACTTTTTTTGGGGGGAGGGGGAACGAAACACCAAACTCTCCTGCCCGCATTCCAGACAGGAATTCATATTTCATGCGGGGCCAATTCCATCTCCGAAGCAAATCCACTTACTGTACAGAGCCACCCTCTGAGAGGCAAATACCAAAGCTGAGCTCTGCAAGCGAACCATAAAGATTCGCTTCAGAAAAGTTTTCTTTCCTGCCAGGTCCTAAACACCATCCTCAAGGCAGCTTATTCCCCTGGCTTTTACAAGATTTCATTCTTGGAGGTTTGGCGATTCCGGTGTGAGATGCCGGCAAGGTTTTTCGAAGGATAATTTATTGTGCTGCTTTTAACCACCGGGTTTATGGGACAAAAGTCCCATTGACTCCAGCAATATGGAGCCATGCCTTTCCTGTCTGCCTTCTCGGCACTAAAACCACTAGACTTTTTCTGGTAAGCAAGGCCCCTATAGAACATGCTTCTGCCTCTTACATAGGAGCTCTTTCTGTGCTGCCATTATACATGCAACGGTTTACTTCCAGGAACAAGTTTCCCCAATTACAGAGAATTCTTTTATAGGTCCTAACCTCGTCAAAATGTTTCAGGTCTGCAACATTTATAGTCTTGGACGCTGCACACTGACTTGTAAGGAAATCCCACTGTGTTCAAGTGTAAATAGCAACACTCCATTACTTGATTGATTGGTTATTAATAAGCAATTTTTACAATGGTGAGCCTATTAAAAGGAATAATACGATTTTAAATATAAGTACATACAAAAGTCACAGGTGCTAGGTATCGTCTAGGTAGGTATATTAGAAGATACAACCCTTCGTCCCCCCCATACAACAGAATGCAACTGAATACCCCATTTTCAGAACTGTTTATACATATGCAAATGTATGCAGATTTATTGGCCCAAATCCAGAGGTTAGTTGTGCTTAAATCCCATTGCAATAAACTAATTTGCAATTGTAAAAGTTCTGTCCCATCAATTCCAATGGGTCTAAAACACAATTAACTTATCCTGGGTTTGGGTTACTGCAATAATTGATTAGTTAAACCCCACATTATGAACTGGCATGTTTTGTGTAACAGGGTAGGAGCCATACTACACAATCCTGTACATGTCTTCTCAGAAGTCATGTGTGCATTGGATTGCAGCCCTAGTCATTCTTGGCTGATTCCACAGCTAAATATAAAATACTGTATCTGCTACAGAGGAAATAAATAGTGTAGGGCACATGGTCCCCTATCAACAACTGCTTTGGTCACAATGCTACACATAAGAACAAGAAACTGCAGTGACATATGAGCCGGATGCAGCAAACAATCCCCTACTCACAGCTGCTGAATTGATTTCGCCTGCTCACATACCTGGGCAGCAAGTGACTGCCTGTGCAAACTTGCCTACCACGTGTAGTGTACCTTGATTGCAGGTACAATTTCAGCCAATGCAGAGCAGATGTAAAAGCTAAACAGCCAGGCATGGAAAAAGACATGATAGCCTTGGACAGATCTTGTCATGCTCAGAGCACTGCAGTGAAGCATGTATCAGTCTTAACAGTCATGTGTGGGGCAACGCTACGGAGTTAACAGCTGGAAAAAGCATTCAAGGTCCCAGACAAGTTCGGTTACCTTCAAGATTAAGAGCAGATTGCTAACCTCTACTGTAAGCAGCTCTAGATAATCAGGACCATACTAAGAAGTAGGTACCATTTCTTACTTAAACTCTAACAAGGAGATGTTAGGAAATTCCTCACCAGCACCACTGGGCCTGGGGTGATAAGGAAAACTTTCCAGATTGCAACAGGAAAAATGGCTGGAGAAAACGAAGGTGGCTCAAAAATCTTAATGCTTTTTTATACAGTTACCATTTCTGTGGGAAAGTTTGTACATTGCATGTGCACCACTGTGTGCAATGCACAGGTATGCATTTATGTATTTTACAGAAGGCGTGTGTGCGTTCATGGCATGTGATGGGGCACACATTTCCTATTCAGGCGTCATACCTGTGCAAGAAAATCACCATTCATGAAGCATCCCTGAGCCAAGCACCTGCATTTCCAAATCTACCCCCAACAACCCTTGGGATGTTGCTTGAAGATCTGAACTGTCCAAGGCCAGAGGGAGCTTAGAAGAAGGGAAGGGAAGTCTGTGCTCTGTAAGGAGCCACAGTTCTTAGGAACCAATCCCCTGGTGCTTTGTGAGGAACAGGAGTGGTCAAAGGGAGCTTTATTTATTGGCAGGATCTCTATGCTTTATTGCAAGGCTGTAGCTGAGTGATGTATGCACATGCTTTGCATATAAAAAGTCCCAGGTTCAGTTTCTGGCATCTCCAGGTAGATTTAGAAAAGCCTTCAAGTACAGCATACTAGGCTAGATGGACCAGCCAGCTGACCCCATTCTTATTCATAGCAGTGAGCAGCATACCTGGCTCTAGGCTTGCTCCTCTGAGCAGATCATAGCATAGCATTGGAAGGGACCACAAGGGTCATCTAGTCCAACCCCCTGCATTGCAGGAATCTTTTGCCCAATGCCACTCAAACCCACGATCCTAAGATTAAGAGTCTCACATGAATTAGTAGATAGGTGAGAACAGGGAGTGAGAGGATGGCATAATAAGAGGGCAGTAGGCTCTTCTATCCCAATACTGCCATCCGTTTCCTGGCAAACATTGCCCTATACAAAAACTCAGAATGGAGCTACGGATTTCTGGGTATTATAAATATTTAATGAATTGAATTTCTGCACCGCCCTTCATCCAAAGATCACAGGGCGGTTTACGATATAAAAGCATGAAAAGGGATGCCATACTAACAAACAAAAACCATACCCCACCCCCCAACACACACACTGCTATTATTATTATTATTATTATTATTATTATTTATAAAAGGATATGAAAGGCAGGAACTCATTACAAGAACTCTGCAATTCTGATCTTTTACCCAAGAAGATGGGATAGATTTTATGAATAAAGGAGCAGAAATTTCCCCAAAAGATAAACAAAAACAACTGAGGAGCAACTGGGATGAAGCTGCATGGAATTGGATAAGGAGGGAAACACCTGCTCAGAAAAGGTGTGCAATCTCTTTTTATGGAGGTTTAAAAGGCTTGGGTTCGAAGCCACAAACATGAGTCTGACCAAACTGCGGGAGGCAGTGGAAGACAGGAGTGCCTGGCGTGCTCTGGTCCATGGCGTCACGAAGAGTCGGACACGACTAAACGACTAAACAACAACAACAAAAGGCTTGGGTGTTTATCTATATCCCATTATGGTATTTAAGTCAAGGAAAAGTAGAGTGCCTGGGATAGGGGGAGAGACGATCCCTCGTGTTCTTTCCAAAAACTTTTCTGTCTGTCTGTCTGACACCCCCCCTTCCTACACATTAACATGACCTTGGGCCAATCACCGTCTCTCAGCCTAACCTACCTCACAGGGTTGCTATGAGGATAAAATGGGGAGAAGAATCATGTACACCACCTTGAGCTCCTTGGGAGAAAAGGTGGCATAGAAATACAATTAATAAATATTATGTGGAAACCCCGCATGGCTTCTGGACCCCCACTTTGGCACGCACACGTATCTCCCCACTCCCTCCAGTCTTCCAGCTGCACTTGATCAGAAGGTCAGGGTTTCAAACCCAGCTTCTGCCAACCTAGCAGTTCGAAAGCACACCGGCGCAAGTAGATAAATAGGTACCGCTGCGGCGGGAAGGTAAACGGCATTTCCGTTGCGCCAGAAGCGGTTTAGTCATGCTGGCCACATGGCCCAGAAAGCTGACTGTGGACAAACTCTGGCCTGAAAAGCGAAATGAGCGCCGCACCCCATAGTCGCCTTTGACTGGACTTAACCATCCAGGGGTCCTTTACCTTTTACCTACTGCTATATGCAACAAGCAGAGGAGATGCTCAGCTTCGCTTTGCCTTTTGCTAAGGGAGTGGCGGGAAAACAGTTTCTAGGGGGATGAGGAAGAAAAAACTTTCAGGGTTGAGGGGGCTCGCCTCCTCAGCGCCCTGCCCCCTGCGCCCCGTTATCAGCAGGGTACCCAGCCTGCCCCCTTGCCCGTGGGGAGGGGGGAGGTCATGAGTCCTGGTGCCATGCGCTCCCTCAGCCCCGCGCTCTCTCGCCCTCAGGTGCCCGGCTCTCCCCGGAGCCCCTCACTCACCTCGGCCGTCTGGAAGGCGAAGAGGGGCAGCCACGCGACGCCGAGGAGAGCGGCAGCCGGACGATGCCTCCCTGGTCCTGGGGCAGGTAAAGGCGGCGAGGCGGGGCGGGGCGCAGAGAAGGGAGGCCGCTGCTTGGCGGTGCCGGTTGCGCTCTGGCCGCTGGCTCGGGACTGAGAGGAGGCAGAGCGGCGGGCGCCGCATTTAACCGGGGCGGCGTGGGGAGCGGCTGGGGGCCGAGCCCTCCCCCTGGAGGCTGCAGAGAGTGGGGCTGCAGCCCCATGGCGAGTGGCGGGGCTGCGCGGGGCCGGCCCCACCCACGCCCCCGCCGCCTGGCAACGCGCAGGGTGGCGCCGTCTCCTTCCCGCCCTCTCCCACGAAGATCTTCGGGGTGGGGGTGGGCGTGTGTCCCCGAGGCTGTCTCGCAAGGTCAAGGAAGGCGGGAGAGACAGGAGCCCGAGTCTCCAAGGAAGAGGCTGGTCCCGTCAGGCTGGCAGTTCATAGACTCGTAGAGCTGGAAGGGACCCTCAGGGATCATCTAGTCCAGCCCCCTGCGACGGAGGAATCTCAGCTAAAGCATGCCTGGCAGATGGCCATCCAACCTCTGCTTGGAAACCTCCGAGGAAAGAGAGTCTACCACCTTCCCATGGAGTTGGTTGGTTCCCCTGCCCAACAGCTCTTAACTGTCAGAAAGTTCTTCCTGGTGTTTAATTGAAATCTCCTTTCCTGTAGCTTAAAGCCAGTGGTTTGAGTCTTACCCTCCGGAGCAGGGGAAGACAAGCATGCTCCATCTTCCAAGTGACAGCCCTTTAGATATTTGAAGATCATTCAAAGGAATGGGAATTGATCATTATTATTATTTATTAAAAATTTGCATGCCGCGCTTCATCGGTGCCCAGCATAAAAACACAAGATAAAAACACAAAATACATAAGAAAAGTAAGAAAAGAAAACAGTAACCCCCAAGCCCTCTCAGAAACACATTTAAAAGTATGGCATGTGCATGTATTCACACATGTTCTCTGCCTGGGACAGTCAACCTGGGGCCCTCTAGATAAGGTGGACTACAGCTCCCATTCCCATTGGCCAGTAGTTCGGTTGTCTGGGGCTGATGGGAGCTGGCATCTAATAACAACCAGAGGATGCAGTGTTGCTTATCTCTGGTTTCTGCTCTCCCCAACCACATGTCCTCCAGATTTCTAGCTCCCATCATCCTTCACCATTGAGATGTGCTGACAGAGGTAGAGGGCACCAGGTTGGGAAAGGCTTAAAGCAGGCATCGCTATCCTAGCTCCCATCGCCAGATACTTGTTTCATCCCACACACCCCATTTTTGCAAATTTGATTGATAGTTTGAACATGGGATCTATCCCTGTCATAGAATATCTTAAATGTGTATACATGGATCTCATCGCCATCACTCTGACACAGGAAGTCTGTTGAAAGGGCACTGACAGTCTACATTTCCCCACAGATTTTTTTAAAAAGCAACAGTAGGGACTCTTCCTGCAACACAGACATAACAACATGACAAACACCTGGACTGCCTGCCCCTAAATTCGACCCTCACACCACCATAGTCTCTGTTGTTAATATCCTTATTGTTGTTGTTATGTGTGGATTTATATTCCACTTGATACCAATGTGGTTTCTAAGCGGTTTACAGTTGCACAGCATTGTTAAAATACAGAATAATTAATATTGCACCCTGAAATACTCCTGAATATATGGGAAAATAATATCTGGGATACAACAATGCCTCAGTATCTCACCAGACACAGGAGGGCGATTAAAGACAAAGCAAAAAGAAATACCTTTCAAGAAACGTGGACCCCTCTCTTTAACTATGTTATTGACCAGAATCAAGATCTTGTTATAACCAACTGATCAGTCTTCTGCATGGATAGATGGCATTAAGTAATGTGTTTGAAAGTTGAATATGTAAGCCTAAAGTCAATGGACAGAACAAACAGCATTAGATGTGCTGCTGGATAAGTGTTGAATGGTTCTTGTTTTCATATTTATCTGAAACCAATTTTTAAAATGTTTTAAAAACAGTTACACCATACACAATAAAATGATCCCATCCAAACATTAAAATATAAACACCCGTTATTAAATCTACTGTAAAACAGCCCCATTAACGCAGCTCAGCAGTTAAAATAGGACAAGAGGCTTAAGAGTTATTTGATCAAGTCTTGGCTGATGTTGGAAAGAGTCAATGGGTGTTGTCAACATTGCAGGTCCTATTAAAGATTGGGGGTGCCTGCATATGATGTTATCAGGCATTAAGCTATCCAATCTGTATTGGCCTTTTAAAGATTTAGGGCCTTCTAGTACACCTTCTGTGCAAAGAATGTATGACCCACATTTGGCTCTGGGTGGCTTTAAGCTTCATCACTTAAATTGGGGTAAACAGGAGTAATCGAGTGTAGACGTGTGAAGGAAATCAGACCTGCTGAGGTACATGTGACTCCTACAAATGTAAACAAGAATCTTGGCACAGATTAGACTCGTACTGTCCTGAGAGTGCTTGACTGGCCAGCACATGAACTGGACATTAATAGCATTTCATTGCTTTTTATGTTAGTGATGTGTTTAATTGCATGGAATTTCCTTGGCAGGACAGCAATCGTGCCTCCATTTAATTTGTCTTGAGCGCTTCATGTTGCTGCCTGTCCAGAAGAGGGTGGTAAGGACAGCTGTGTTCAGGTAGAAATATCAATCATGAAACATGTCCATCAAATTCTGACTTTACATAATTGAAAAATTATTCACATGTTCTGAGGCTTTTTATCCGCAGTCATCAATAGCCAGGGAGGGGTTTTGTTTTTCTCCTTTATTCCACTGTTGGTATGTGTTTGGAAACATTCTTTCTGTTTGGTGCAGAGCTGGACCAGGGGGTGGGGGACCCAGAGCTTAGCCAATTGAGTAGAAACTGGCAAGGATGATACTTTCAAATGTCAAATAAACTACCAGGAGATAAGAAGAGTATCTGCTCTAAGGAAGTTGTCTCTTGGCCTTGGTACAACCTGATTCTGATATTACCAGGCCTCACCTGGAGGTATCATGTACAGTTCTGGGCCCTGCAGTTTAGGAAGGATATCGACAAACGAAGAGGTTCAAAGGAGAGCAACGAAGATAGAAGCAGTGGCATAGCGTGGGTTGTCAGCACCCGGGGCAAGGCAAGTAATTTGCGCCCCCTAACCCCTAAACAGGTAGGGGCAGAGAGCTGCGAGTGCAAGCGCCCCCCCCAGATGTTGCGCCCGGTGCGGCCGGCCCCCCCTGCACCCCCCACGCTACGCCACTGGATAGAAGAGATGATAAAGAGGTGATACAATAGCCGCTTTCAAATATTTGAAGGACTGGCACGTAGATGATGGAGAAAGTTGTTCTCTGGTGCTCTAGGGGGCAGGCCCTGGACCAATAGGTTCAACTTACAAGATAAGAGATTTGAAGTAAACATGGACTGCCTTGGGAAGTGGCAGATTCTCTTTTGTTAGCTGTTTTTAAGCAGAGACTGGATGGCTAGTGATCAGGGATCTTATAGCAGCAGCTTCCCTGCAATGGCAGAGGGTTAGACTAGAGAACCTTTTGAGATATCTTCCATCTCTACAGTTTTATAGCTAAAATTAGCCATTTGTAAATACCCTTTAATACTGATAGTGATAATGGTTTGCAGCTGCAGAAATCCCCACTTGTGTGTTAATTATCACTTGGCATACCATTCACATGGGACCATAGGGAAGAAAAATGGTGGAGCTGTGCGTTTTGATCAAAAGTGGCAGTTCCAAATTAAGTTACATTATGAATTAATAAATAGGTCACCAGCTTGATCAATTGATGTATAGATAAATATTGCATAAAATCATGTGGATTATGGATCTGTGAAAAAGGCCAAATGGTTCTGAACCCCATGTAGCCACTGGCCAAGATTCTGTGACGTCATGGAATATTCATGGCTGAAAACCAATCACCTCATCAGGAAACTAGCCTGGCTTACATTTTAACACTTGCTGGATCCAGGGTTTAGAAGGGTCTCTACATGCAGCCTACTCCTCCAAACTCATAACATTATGTTTCCTAGCACTGCTTTGCAGAGCCATCTGAATCCTGGATGGGAGCTCTAGCACTGGAAGAGAAGTGATTTAGAGACATTAAAGCTCCATCCCAGCTAACAACGCAACACATTGGTGCAGACATGACCAAGTAATAATATGACACAATACTCAAAGCCTTGTATGGATTCACTATAATCAATGTCAGAAGGAACAAATAATTCCCCGTAATCCTAAACATATACCATGTGCCAGAAGGCCGTTGCCCATGGACTTTGACGAATGTAAATTTAAACCAGATGATGGACGTTGGGTGGTCTCCAGTAGATTTGAAATCTGAAGATGGAACATGGAAATAGTTCAGCCAACAAAAATTTAAAGAACAATAGACCGTTGTGGTGTAAGAACAGAGTAGATGTGGTCCACTGGATTGAGCATGCCAAGGGACTGGGCTTCCAAACTGCATTTCACAAGGTGAAACAAAGCAGAAAGAGACAAGAGTTTTACAGTGAGGCAAAGGTGGTGTGATAGAAGCACAAGGAATATAAGAAGCTTCCTTCTACTGAGTCAGACCCATCTTGCCTAGCATTGCTTGCATAGGCTGGCAGTGACTCTCAAAGCTTTCAAGCATGAAATTTTCTCAGCCCTACCTGGAGATGCTGGGGATTGAACCTAGGACCTTCTGCATGCAAAGCAGATGCTCTACCAATGAGCTATGGCTCTTCCACTAATACAGTCTTCCCTATCCCTGTCTTATATAATCAGCACTGCTTTCGCTATGATTATTTTACAGACCTTTAAGCCAGGGATAAGGAACCTGTGGCCCTCCAGATGTAGGTGGACTACAGTTCCCACCATTCCTGACGGGAGCTGATGGGAACTGGAGTTTAACAACATCTGAAGGGCTAGTTTCACCATCCCTGATTTAAGCTTTGATGTAATTGTCAGTTTGTAGCTTTTACATTTCATTTCCCTCTAACCTTACTGTTTACAATGTACACACACAGAGCTCTCTCTCTCTCTCTCTCTCTCTCTCTCTCTCTCTCTCTCTGTGTGTGTGTGTGTGTGTGTACCTACACCTGTCATCTTAGAATAACACATTATGCCACTTTTGTACACCAAAACCTATTCCACAATTGTTGTTGTTGTTTAGTCGTGTCCGACTCTTCGTGACCCCATGGACCGGAGCACCCCAGGCATTCCTGTCTTCCACTGCCTCCCGCAGTTTGGTCAAACTCATGCTGGTAGCTTCAAGAACACTGTCCAACCATCTCGTCCTCTGTCGTCCCCTTCTCCTTGTGCCCTCAATCTTTCCCAACATCAAGGTCTTTTCCAGGGAGTCTTCTCTTCTCATTTGCTCAACTCTAAGACGCTTTGTTTTCATAAAGCACGGGCTGTTTCTGAATTCTGTTCAGGTGCCACAGAGTTCTAGGAATGCAGCAAAGAGATAGAGCTAGGATCAAAGCTGTCATTACAGGAGCTGAGATGCTGGGTAATTTGCAAAACATACCAAAAAGAGTTCAGTCAATTTCTGTGTCCTTGCATAATTACCCAGCTGCTGGCCATTTAGGCTCCTAAGCCCCATCAGATCAAACTGTATGCTTATGAGTACTTGGAAGCAAGTCCCATTGTGTCCAGCAAGGTTTTCTCCCAGGTAAGCATCTACAGGATTGCAGTCTTGTTGCAGGCTTTCTTTCCCCTCCTTCCATCAATGAACACACATGCATAAAATAGACAGGCAAAAGAAACGTCAGTGCTTATAGCTCTGTACCAGAGCAAGCTGCAACATGAAGAGTTTTTCCACCACCAGGCGTCCCAGTTCCTATATATATCAGCAGAAATGTGATTGATGTTGAGCTTCTTCATAACCTGCTACCCTCAAATATACCCACCACACCACACCACGGCTGTCAGTTTTAAAATGCCATACCTGGGTAAAGGCAACAGTTTTGCAGACGTGGCATTTTCTTGGAAGGTATCTTGTGCTTTTGCAGTAAATCTCCTGGTATGGATTGTCCAGGATTCAAAAGGTTTCATCTTCAAGGAGTAGAGAATTATCAGCATGTTGTCAGTCCAGTTTATGTGAGGGCAAGCATCATTGTCAGCTTTGCTTGGGATAAAGCCTCACACTGCCCCAAAGGACAGAAGTGGTTTGTGAGGAAGTTAGAGGACTGAAAGTAGGTCACAGGAGATAGGACAGTTAAGGAGAAGGAAGCCCAGAGGAAAAGATGGCTGAGAAAGGGAGTAGAAAACAGACAAGGAACCTGGAACCTGGGAAAAGGGCAGAGGAGACAGGGGACTGAGCAAAACAATAAGAGGAGATAACAAACCAGTTGGCCGAAGCCTTCGGGTGGCTTAATAACATTGTTGGATGTTCCAAAGAACAGTGTTCTTTCCTGTTGGATTTATGTTTCCTTACCAAAGTACATCCTTGGTAGATGAGCCATCTTAAAGGGATTCTCATTTAATAGAGTACAATTCAGCTATTATTCTTCTATTTTTGCCAAGATATGTTATTCAACATGCAATAGGAGGTTTATATAACCACGTCTGGAATTTAAGGACTGAATCAAAGAAATAATTTATCCTGGGCTGTTGGACACTATAATAAATCATTGTGTTATACCACCTTGTTATTTCACACTATGGAAGTGTACCTAGAGAAAGAAAGACAGGTATGTTGCTGAATGGCACAATATCACAGGCCAGTGGAGGAATCCAGTAATCAGTGTGATACATGAGGCTGCTGATCTTGTGTTCTGGCTTTTCAATGATAGACCTGAGCTCCCTTTACTTATACCTGTGGTTCTACTCTGCTGCCTCCAATGTAGATCCAATCCAGAGCAAGCTGACCCTCTCCGAAATGGAGTGCGCAGGTACCTTCAGCTCCCATCTGACCGGACTGTGCTGATAGTCCATGCGAAAGTTGCTCAGAAATCGTATGGCAGTGAAAAGAGGTAGGAAATCAGCTTGAACTTCCTGTTAAAATCAGAATTTTAATGGGGCTCTCCACAGTAGAGAGACTAAACAGGTGGCATGTGTGTGCATATGTGCTCTACGTGAAATGAATTGTGGGTCTCATGGTGTTCCAGTAGTTTTTCAAGCACACCCAGCTCTGCTTCTAAGGTATTCAATTCCCTTTCTTAGGTCACATCCACACTATAACATATAAAGCAGCGGTGGCCAAACTTGGCCCTCCAGCTGTTTTGGGACTACAATTCCCATCATCCCTGACTACTGGTCCTGTTAGCTAGGGATGATGGGAGTTGTAGTCCAAGAACAGCTGGAGGGCCAAGTCTGGCCACCACTGATATAAGGCATGTGGCTTCGCCCAAAGAATCCTGAAAGTGGTAGTTTACCTCCTCATGGAGCTACAATTCCCATCACCTATAGCAAACTATAGTTCACAGGATTCTTTGGTGGAATCACCATTTCCAGGAAATGCATAGAGCCAGAATTCACTAGTGTTGCCAATGTATAACATTTGTGGTAGATTCCCCAACTCGTGTTCTTGTTTAATACTTACTACACTGTGTTGTTGAAACCTGAATTGTTTCCACTAGCAATGGAGGATAAATTATTGTTTTATATGACCTTTCATACACATCTGAAGGCAGCCCTGTTTCAGGAACCTTTTAATGTTTGATGTTTTGTTTTGTTCCTTTATATTTTGTTGGAAACCACCCAGAGTAGCTAGGGTAACCCAGTCAGATAGGTGGGATACAAGAAATAAACCATCATTATTATAAATTATTGCTATTATTGCTATTATTACTTTGTTTTGAATTTTAATGCAAAACTCCCTAATTTGTACCTCTAGTAACAATACATGAACTGAAACACAGCTATCCTTCAAAAGAACTGGCTCTAAACTTGTTAGGCTAAAGTCTAAATGAGTCAGATGGGACCCTGTCCTGTAATGAACATCCTCAAAAAATACTATTATGGCATCGGAGTATAAAACCACCCATTCTGGTGTGTTTTATTACCAACATTTTTACGCACTACCAATGCAGCATGAATCCTAGGCATTCACGTGAGTTTAAAGACAGCGGAAACCCAAATAAAACACAGGAAAACACGTTTCCAAACCTTTGGACCTCAATTTATTTGTGTTGGTCTAAGGATCTCGCTGTGAATGTAAACTCTGTTCCCAGCCTGTGAAACTTCCACATTCCAGGCTGAGACAGTCACAGGGACAAGTCCTCCCTCTGCTCAAGGAGAAGCGAAGAAACGAGAGCTTTCCCCTCTATATAATCACCACCATCTTCCACAGTAGGAGGTCATGTTGAGCTTGCTGTGCCTCTGATAGATGTGGCTACTCCATGTTGATGTCTGGAGCCCAGATCATAACAAGAGACCCCTGTGCCTATTCAGCACTATGGAAAGTAATTTGGTAAAAACATGAACAATGAGAACAATTCCGTATGTTGGAAACAATTAAAAACAATTCCATATACAAAGTAATGACCTGTCCAAGGCTATCCTGCGAATGTGATGGCTCATCAGGAATCGGAACATGTGTGTCCCAGATTGAACCATGACAGCTTAGTCCTTTTCCCATTCCACCGCTCTTTAATATTGGTGATCATTTGGTTATCCAGAAGGTTGTAACAGGAATTCTGTGTGCATATTGTACACAAATCCTTGTACAATATACATAGCAATGCTATCTTGGTATGAAATCTTATATAAATTAATAAGAAAAAAAGATTTCTGAAAAGTTATATTTATAGGTGCCCCTTCATATTTTATTTTATTTAGTTTATTGATTTGGTCTTTCAAATTAACGTCTTAGAGATATATCAAACATAAATCATAAAAACAAGATTCCAAGGAATCTCCTGGACTTCTATCCTCCCTTTGTGGGTCCTATTATTGATCATTTCCTCCTGCATCTTTTAAGATGATCCAAATCTTTTACATCTCCACTGTGTCCAGAATTCACCTACAAGTGATATTCCAATCCTGCTAACGATTTTACCTGTTTAAACAGCCCCTTCATATTTTCTAACCTTGTGGATGTATTTAGGAAAGGAATTAATATATGGCCCTCTTTGTTTGCTTTTTTTTGGTCCCACCCCTGCCCCATTTTGTTGCTAAAAAAAAACAAACATTTCCACACTTGCCTTTTTTCTGCATGTTGCCTTGTACAAGCCTTCGTTGTATCTTTTTATAAAATAATGGCAATGTAGTTTGTATCACAATTCTCCAGGGGGGGAGGGGGAAACCAGAACTCTTGTCAGTGAAGTGTTCTTAGCTTAATCGTTTACTTTTTCTTTTCTTCTCAGGTTTTTCTGCCCCCCGCCTTGCGTTTACCTGACTGGACCAGGCTGGAAGTTGAAGAAGGAAGACATGAAAGGTATGGCATATGTCATCTGAAGTCTTCTCCGCTGTTGCCATTAATTCTTCTCTGAGCGATAATGGACTTGGGGGACAGAGTCCCTTGATGGGCAGTTGGGCTGCCCAACCCCAAATACCACTGTATTTCTATTTAAATTATAGCAATTATTTCTAAGTTTGCATCTACTGTATACATAAAAGTCACCATCATGGGCAAATTGTTGTTCTCTTTTTTGTTGATGTAGCTCCTCCCCCCCCCCCCAGTGAATGAATAAGTGCCTACTTTAGAATCAGTAGGTGCCCAGTTTGGATCTCACCTCTGCCCTGAACTCACTACGTGTCTTAGGCAAGCTCAGCCCCAGCTGCTTCCATCTGCAATAGGGTGTGTGTGTGTGTGTGTGTGTGTAATAATATTTACTCAAGTCACAGGGCTCTTGCAAAGATTGCAGCTAGATAATGCACATGGGGTGCTTTGAATGTTGAAAAGCACTATATGCTCAATGCCACCCATTCTCAACTGAGCCACCACTATGTTCTCACGCCATGCAACTATGTTTTTCATCTGGAGCTATGCAGAGTCCCTGTTGATACCTCCTTTCTTAGCCTAAGGGTGTCCCTGCTCCTTTTGATCATTCTTTGCCATAGGACACCAAGGGGAATCAACAGGACATGTGTCTACTTAGGTCAAAGTTTACCTTGGCCTCTGCTTCCTAGTAGACTTGACAGATTATTGACTGCAGTGGCTACAGAGAAGCCCACCACCACCCGACTATCAGCCTGTAAAAACACCACAAAATATGGAGCAGTTGGGCTTCAGGCTGGGCTGCCAACTGCAGGAAATGTGTCCAGACCACAGGGAGAGTTTTACAGCATCAGGATTTGCTGACACATCAAGGGGCAGAGGAAGGTGATAACACAAAAACCGGCATTGCTTTGAAAGGGGAGATCTGGGTCTGCATTTGAACATTATTTACCTGTTAATCCACTTTCCCTTCCTTCAAATTAGACCAGAGCAGTCCACACCTGCAGGTATTTGGAATTTGTATATGTGAAGCAACTTCAATCTTCCCTGTTCTTGCCTGCAGGCTTTCTCTTTTGCGTTCAAATAATAGAATTATAATGCTTTCTAATTCTTGATTTGGTTATGTCAGTTAAGTGTGAACAGGGCATGTACACAAATAGCTGTACGTGCATCTTGGGGGGGGGGTAATTTTAAGAAAAATCCCCAGGCAAGAAGTGTGCAAAGGCACCCAGTCAAGCAATTGTAAATGTGCTTGTGCAGTTTTCTGGCTTTGTGCAAATCAGGGAGATCAAAAGAAATATATAGATCCCTATGCCCAGGAGCATACTGGAAATAGGCTAGTGCACAACCAGACGAGAAATGAAAGCATAGAAGGAGGAGGAGCAGAAAGTGACAATTGAGGCACCCACTCAAAAGCACGGGGGGGGGCATCTGCGACCCCACGTGGGCAGTGTGGAACCCAATTTGTCATATTTTTCCCATATCAGGCGAACCCAGATTTACAAGGGGGAAAGCAATGAGATTACTGCTGTTTGAGGTTAATTTCTTGAACACTGTGCAAATTAAATGGGAACACAAACAGCTGCAAGCACACAGTAAACTCCAGTGTGAACAAGCCCTGCTATGCTGGAACATAGGAGCTCCTATGATTTCTTTTCAACACCCTCTTTTTAGACGGAGATAAAAACTGACCACAAAGAATTCTTTGAGAATATCAACAAGCATGTGGACAGGGTTGGTTTTGCATATCAGGTGTCGCTAGTGAGGTACTCTGCGTATGTTGCTGCTTCCTAGAGGTCATCACGAGATCTCTGCTTCACTTCCTTTCCTTCTCCTGCCAAAGATCCAACAGACTTCAGTTCCAAAGTCTGTGGCTATATAGGACTCGATGGCACAAGCAGCAGCCACGTGGAGACCCAGAAGCTAAACTTTGAGGAGCAGCTAGATTCCAAGGTAAGCAGCAAATTAAGGCTCAGTGGTAGAACATCTGCATTGCACACAGAAGGCCTCAGGTCAATCTCCAACATCTGTAGGTAGGGCTGGGAGAGAGCCTTGTCTGAAACCCTGGAGAGCCCCTTGAGGTCACTGTAAACACACCTGAGCTAGATGGACCACATCTGATCTACATCTGCTCTACATCTCATCTCAGCTAGATCTGAGCTAGATGGACCACATCTGAGCTAAATGGACCATCTGAACTAGACAGACCAATGGCAGCTCCCTATATTCCTAAGGTGGATCTGTTCAGGGCAGATATGATATGTATTGTTAATAAACCCAGCTCACACTTAAAAAAAATAATGATGGTGATGGATCTCAAAACATAACAATTTGTGCCTTGCACTGAACATATTTATGCTCATTCTTTTTTAAAACTGCTGCTGCTTTTTTTGCAGAGTGGGGATGCTGTTTCCTGATTTTTGCAGTGATTTGAGGCATGGCCCAGTCAAATTCATTGTTTTCAATGGGAGACTTCAGTTTATACTGAATTTAACCCACAAGAAACACTTGCTTAAATCTATTTGGCTTTAAGCCTGCCGTCCTATACAGTTACCTGAGAATAAGTCCCATTGAACTCTGAGCTTACTTCTGAGTAGGTATGCATTAGATTGTGCCCTCTTTGCCCTGCCCTATACATGCCATTCTTTTTCTCTGTTTGCTTTTACAGTATTTTACAGTATTTTAAATGCTATAGTTTAGAATGAAATCTTATACGTCTCGCAAGGGCAATTACATATTAGAAATTGTACCTTATCAACTGATCAGTGCCAGCCTTGAGACATGCCGAGGAAAAAGATGTGGAGCATGGCTGGAGTTGTAGTGAGAGTTCAAACAAGTCGAAGCCTCATAAACAGTGACATTTTGCAAGAAAACAGAGCTCAAAGGGGATTGTTTGAGCCAAGGACTCAGGTACAGTCATCCAAAACCAGCAGGTGGTGTTATGTGTACAGCCATTCACAGGGTTCCACTGTGCACAGGGAGAAAGGCAAGGTCCATAACTTGTGCAACTTGGCACTATGTCATCATGATGGCCGATGTGCATGAAAGGTATAGATTAGCAGGGATCAGAATCAGATAAGGTATACCACACATCATACAACCCAGCCAATGTGATCCTCACTGGGACTGCCAGTGAGCTAGAAGTTGGGCCTTTCCATCTGCCATGCAATGGCAGTTAGAATCCATTTATTTGTTGTTTGTTTGTTTGTTTGTTTGTTTGTTTGTTTGTTTGTGTTTTATAAATTCTACTCCTCAGCCAGATAAGGCTCCCAGATCAGATTATTGTTTTTTTTAAAAAAAAAAACACCCAACTCCCTGCCCTGATGCTTACAATTTTAAGAGGCAAAGCACAAAAGGAAAATGAACAGGAAGGGAGTAGGAAATAGGCAAACTCCAGTTCAAGTTTTTAGTTGTAAGTTCTAATGACAAGCTGGTATGGAAAGGAGAGGGGACATCAAAAGTCACTGGTCTCTAATATAATACCCTTGAATATCTTCTTTTTCCTTCCCTAATGCTGCCAGGTTGTTGGCAGTCTCATTGAACGAGCAAATTTTATTGGTATTTTTTGGGTTTTTGAAAAGATTTTATTGGATTTTTACAGTTTTATATTCAATCAAACAACACAATATAACACTTGTCATATAAAAGAAAAAGAACCACCCCCACCCCCATGAGTTCCCTCAATTTCCCCTTCTGGTTCTTTAAATATTTACTACTTCTGCTTATCTATTACCTTATTTTTATAATCCTATACCTTAATACTCTTATTTTCTTATCAGTTTTATATCAAATTTTCCTTCATGATTACATCTTATAGTCAATTTCATTCCATGTTATCCTTACTTAACCTTTTTTCTTATTTTCTTACTTGTGTTTAATCAAACCCTGCTAGTGAGTCCATATCTTTACAGTATTTCTGTAAATACAACATAAAAGGTTCCCAGTCTTTTTTAAATTCTTCATTATCATTGTCTCTGGTTCTTTCCGTCAGTTTTGCCATTTCTGCATATTCCATAAGCTTGACTTGCCATTCTTCTTTCATTGGTATCTTGTCGTCCTTCCATTTTTGGGCTAGTAGAATCCAAGCCGCCGTTGTAGCTTACAAAAACAACTTCTTCCTTCTTTTCGTAGTTCCTGTCCTATTACACCCAACAGAAAAGCTTCTGGTTTTTTAACAAAGGTTATTTTAAACATCTTCTTCGGTTCATCATATGTCATTTCCCAATAACTTTTAATTATTTTACAATTCCACCACATGTGGTAAAACATACCTTCTTTCTCTTTACACTTCCACCACTTATTAGCACTTGTTCTATACATTTTTGCCAGTTTGACAGGAGTAAGCTTTGCTTCTTTTTAAAACTGCAAATCCCCTTCTGTGGTTTTGATAAAAATCCCTCCTCTGAAGCTGGTGTTTGCATTGGGAGAGAATCCATCATTGGCGTTACAGAACAGACGATGCATGCCACACAGGGTTATACAGTCCTACAGACTGCCGGGACACAGGCTCACTCCTCCTTCCCCCAAGCCCTGGAAGTGTTTGCCCAGCTTAGGGAAGGAGACACAATGTTCCAATGGAGTCCAAGAGCCCTCCTGCTTCGTCCCCCACCACGCAAAAAAGATGGTGGTACTGTGTACCATTGCATACAGATAGGAAGAAAAAGCAGTGCCACAATCCAATATGAAATCTGAATGTTGTGAAATTTCGACACAGTGCTCGTATTTACCATCCTTCCCAGTTCTGATTCTATATGAGCTGTGGAGCCACTTTGGAGCCAAGCCACCAAAATATAGCCACCAGATTAAAAGGATATGGGGTCCATTCCTAAAAATAAACGTGTGATGTTATTGGAACACCAAGTGATTTCCCATTACCACTCCTTTGCCATTGGATAAACAAGCATCGTGACATCTTAAACATGGCCTCAGCCAAGAGGCGAATGAAATACTGGGCTTGGTGTAGGGGAATTAAGTCTCTAGGGAGATCAGCTAGTGCCTTGAGCAGGAAGAGCCAACACCCATCTTGGATCGTAAAGTCTTGATAGGAGAATGATCCCTCAGGGGACTATTGCTTGAGAGACTAAAAGGCCTTTGGTTTGCTCAAATGTCTTTTGCGTTCCTGTAACAGAAACTTGCAGGAAGCCTTCCCCCGGACAGGCACACTGCCCTTGGATGAAGTCTAGTCTAGCATCATGCTACAGGCTGGCATGTGCCGCAAGGGCATACATGTCAGATGACATAGAGACTAGCCTACAAAATGTCAGGGCCCTAGGACAGGAGCCTCCCACTAGGAGGAAGAGTTGGCAATTCACTTCCCACGCAAACCACGGCAGATGCCAACAACTTAGTTCAGTCGATCAATCACATGAGCTAACAGAGAAAGGGCCTTACTTTTTGTTGTTGTTAAAAAAATTTTTATTGAATTTTCAAAAGTTTAACATGTATACTTCAATGCCTGGCACCTTACATTGTTGCACACCGCTCCCTTCACACCATTTTGCTGTACACTGAAGATGCTTTAGGCGCGCACCTTAAAATAAGTGTGAATGAGACAACTGTGAGTTCACCAATTCATGCATCATGCAGGTAGAATAATAAAATTGTGGAGTTCAAAGGGACCCCAGGGGTCATCTAGTCTAACCCTCTGCAATTCAGGAATCTCAGCTAAAGCATTAATTTCAGATGGGCATCCAAATTCTGCTTAATAAACCTCAAATGAAGAAGATTCCACCGCCTCCCCAAGGATAGCTACAGGTATCCACATAAAAATGCTCAAATGTTGGCCATTTTCCAGAGGACCTGATCAAATGTATTGGTTCTCCTCTGCCTTCTTCTGCAGCATTCACAGTTTCTTCCCCCCTAAAAGTCAGTTTTGTTTACTCCTTCACATCACTATCCTCTTGCATGTGGCCTCCAGAAAGAAAACCAGACTCTCCGGAGCTTCAAAGAAACCCATCTGCCTTCATCACTGCCTTTGTCCTTCCACAGCTGGTTTTCTGTGGTTGGTGATCTGCCAGGGATTACGCAGCTTGCAAAGCTGTAGGTTTCTGCTGGTGAACATAGATATTGCTCGCTGCCAAGCGAAAGTACCTTCTTTCGTTGGCAGATAAGCGGTGAAAGAAACCCCTAAATGGTCCCAAAAGATCAAGAGCGGGAGCGATAGCTTGGCACCTTTTTATAGAACCAAAATGTCTGTGGCATTATCTCCAGCCTTGGAAGAATGCTGGGACCAGGAGAAGGGCCAAGAAGGCTACAGAAGGGACCTTTGTCTCTGCAATGCTTAACTCATTGTGAATGCAAAGCCTATCAGAAGAGAGGGAGAGGGAGAGGGAGCGCCAAGATGACTGGGAACTGTAAACCTAGGAGATTCCTTGTGCTGTGCACAGCCAATTGCACGTGAACATTAATTTTCCATTTGGATTTTCCTAACCCCAAAGTAAATAAGCCTTCCCCATCCCCAAGTTTTTCATCCCACCTGTAATAACATCTCTAATCACATTCCCCTTTAAATGAACCTCAAAGGGCTGTGAATGGTGACCATTATGAGTTCTGCTGAGAGTTGCTTCGTCCCACATTTCATTCTTGCTGGTGACAAGCCGAGCTAGTGATAGTTCACGCTGATGCGATTCCCTGAGAAGGCCAGTTTGTTTTCCCGCTCATTGGTCCTGGAGACAAAAACAATGCCTTGCATTTCTTTGTATTTCTTGCTTGGAAGGTTCCTTTCCCCTCCCATCCCTTCCTTTCATCTTGTTAAAATATTGCTGCTTTTTTCCGGGGGTTGTATAACCTAATCTCTCTATCAAAGCAAGATGGTTTGTAATCCAATTTACACAGTTGCTGTTAAAGTACTGCTGTCCTGTACTGCACTTCGAAGACGCTAACAGTTCAATCATGTTTGTGCCTACCTGTAAGTTTTGAGTACAATGGACTTTACACCAAGGTAAGTGTGGTCCTCAAGCTTTTTTTCCTCTGGTCCCTACTTTCAGGATAAAAAAAAAACAGTGGGGTTTTTTATTGATAAGAAATGCATTAGAAAACAAAAAGAAGCAACTGCTAGCACTGCTTGATTTATAACATAGAACAGAACTGATTTATAATTTGATCATGGGATGTCCAGAAAGTATAAAGCAATGCCGCTACACAAGAACATGCATCGTTTCCAAAATATAAGTATAAACAAGCCTCTTCCACCCTTTGAGAACCACTGGTGTACAGGATTGTAGCCATAACAATCCCCCTCTTTGATGCAGGTGTTCAGCTGTGCCAAAGCTCTGTACATTTCAGACTCAGACAAGAGGAAGCACTTCCGGCTGGTCGTCAATCTCTTCTTCAGCAACGGGCTGGAGATCGGCACGTTCCACAGCAAGCTGATCAAGGTGATCTCCAAGCCCTCCCAGAAGAAGCAATCCCTGAAGAATACAGACTGTAAGTGACATGGGCTCCTGGGTGCCAGCGGAAGGAGCCTTCCTTGTGTCTTTGGAGGCAGCCAAAGGAAGCCGCAAGATAGGATGGTAGACTGGTTGTAGTTGGAGAAGGTAACGCAACAGGCTAGGAAGGAGGCATAGCGTGGAGGTAGAGCACATGCTTAAAAGGAGCAGAGGGGAGAAGCTGGTTCAGACCCTGAATCTGAGATCCTAGATGGCTGCTACCAATAAGTAAGAGTAGTCCAGAGGTGGGGAACCTTTCTCAGCTCAAGGGCCACGTCTTCTTCTGGGCAGTCTTCTGAGGGCCATGTGCCGGGTAGGAAGGCCAAAGACAAAAGTGAGCAGAGCAACCAATGTATCATGTTCCTTTGTTCAATAGGCTAGCTTCCACACTTACTCTGTATCCTCCATCCCAGACCCTCCAAGTGTCCCTGTTTTCCAGGGACAGTCCCGGATTTACAGAAGCTGTCCGGTTTCTGATTTGAACCCAGAATGTCCAGCTTTTCCTTTGGGTGTCCCTATTTTCATCAAAGAAATGTCGGAGGGTGTGGAGTTATCTGACCCCCATGCCATCTGAAGGCAAACCTGTACAGTGGTACCTCGGGTTAAGAACTTAATTTGTTCCGGAGGTCCGTTCTTAACCTGAAACTGTTCTTAACCTGAAGCACCACTTTAGCTAATGGGGCCTCCCACTGCCGCTGTGCTGCCGCCACGCAATTTCTGTTCTCATCCTGAAGCAAAGTTCTTAACCCGAGGTACTATTTCTGGGTTAGCGGAGTCTGTAACCTGAAGTGTCTGTAACCCGAGGTACCACTGTATAGGGAAGCATTTTTTAATGTTTAATGTTTTATTACATATGTTAGAGGCCACCCAGAGTGACTGAGGCAACCCAGTCAGATGGGGGGGGGATAAATAGTAAAAAATCATCATCATCAACAACAACAACAACAGCAGAATAGGGCGTTCCTGTTTTCAGCGGAGAAACGTTGGCAGGTATGCCATCCAGAAAAGCAAGTGGCATTATTAGAGCTCAGGGACACATTCCAGCCAGGCAAAAACTCTCAAGGAAGGTGTGAAGCAGGGCTGTTGAGAGGTGTGGCCTGGGGAGAGTTCCAAGAGTCAGATGGAGAGGCCTGGAGAGGCCACCATCAGCCATCAAGCCTGAGGTTCCCACCCCTGAAGAAAAGATGGACAAATATTCTGACCTGGTATTAGGCAGCTTCCTATGTTAAAGCAAGAACATGTCAGCTTCAGGAATCGGATCCCTCCCCCAGTGGCAGTAATTAATCAGAAAGGAGTGTTCTTACCAGTTAGTTTCTTTAATAATCACAGCGAGAGACAAAGGAATGCATATCTCACCCCCTCCATCCCCATTAATCTATGTCACTCCTACGTCGGGTAATCTGAGCTTGTTGCCGTTGCGATCTCTGTTCTATCACCCTCAAAGCCCATCTAGTCCTAGGCAAAGGGGGGTCAGGAATGCTGTCCAAAGACACTGAATCTGCAAGCTGTCTCTCTCCTGGTGTTTCCTCTTCTAGCTGTTCCTCACCCAGTATCTCCAAGCTTTCCCCCTCAGGACTATGCCCCTCTGCAAACCACTGTTCTAAATCAATGCTGTCCTCCTGCCCTTGGGAAGGTTCAGGAGAAGGGGGGGGGCTCCCACCATTCCTTCTCAGTCCAGCCCCTGACAGAGCAAAGGAGGAAAATGCTACCGTAGGACAAAATATCTGGGGTTGCAGAAGTGGAGTCTTCAGCAACAGCTTCCCTGAATCCTGCACATGTTGACTCCTTGCACGAATCTCACTGTGTTCATGGGCCTATTCATATGTAAGCCTCTACAGGGCTGCAGCATTGAACCTGGACTTAGCCATTTACATCAATCTCTTCCCTGATGCTCTCCTTCCTGTCCCCCTGCCACCCCGCAGTGTGCATTCCGTCCGGGTCCAAGGTCTCCCTCTTCAACCGCCTGCGCTCCCAGACTGTTAGCACCCGGTATCTTTCGTTTGAGGGTGGCGCCTTCACAGCAAGTGCCAGGCAGTGGGCAGCCTTTACACTTCATCTGGGTGAGGCTTGCTAACGACATGCTCATTTTTAATCACTAATAATGTGGGGACGTTGGTGGTTCTGACCTCCCAGCCAGTGGCATTGCAACATTTGGTGGCACTGTGCCCAAGAGTGGGTGCAACCTAGCCCAAAATAAAAACGGCTAATTAAGGCTTGGCAATTAATCAAACTAGGAAAATTAGCATCCGTTGTAGCATCCCTGTTGAAGTTATAAATATGTTTGGGGCCAGGGTGGACTGCTGCATAAGAGTTAAAATGACCAAGGGATGACAGTTTTGTGAAAGGATAAAATATGGTTTGGAAGGAGACACTGTTTTGTGATTGCTGTCTGGGTACTGCAAGTGAGTCCATGTCAATGGGATTGCCTTAAAACAGGGATAGGGAATGTGTTTCAGCTCAAGGGCCACATGCCTCAAAAGCAGCATTCTGAGGGCCACAGGCCAAAGGTGGGCGGGACCATAAACAAAAGAGGGAGGAGAAACAGGTGGAACTCTTACCATTGTACAATAGGCTACATTCCAGGGACACAAGTGCCAGAGGTTTACACACTCCCACACCCCTCCATCTAGGCAAGCAAAAGGCATTATCGCAGCTCAAGGATGCTTTGCAGCCAGGCAATAGTATTCAAGGAGGCCATGGGGCAGGGCCAGTGAGGGGTGGAGCCTTGGAAGAAGGGGTGTGGCCTGGGGAGGGGGCATAGCCTGGGGGCCAGACAAAAAGGTCTGGAGGGTGGCACTCAGCCCCCAAGCCTGAGGTTCCCCACCCCTGTCTTAAAACATTTTGTCAAATAAGGCACTCCTGTTAAGTCCCCCCTTCTTGCCCTTTGCATTTAGCTTTTCACCTTTTTCTCACTTTTTCTTCTTTTCTTTTCTCCCATCCTTGTTTATATCAAGCGGGTGAGTCCCAGGGTGAGTTCCCCCTGCGAGAAGGATACATTCACTATGGTTCCACCATTCGCCTCATCTGCACAGCCACCAGCATGGCCCTGCCCCCTCTGGTAAGGACTGGCAGTCAACTGGAAGGCAAAAACCAAGAATCCATCTTAACCTTCTCTCTCTCTTGCATTATCTGAAATTCAATACACTATGCCGTGCATCTTGTGCCTCACCCAGATTTTGCGATGGTTGCCTCCTCTTCTAGCTCCTCTCCCTCCCCAGGAATTTGGCATGGTTGCCACATTCCACCAATTAGTATATTTTCAGCCCATCATGTCCGTTTCACATCCTATGTAGTCCATGTCCTAAATACATTCCATCCAGGTTCAGCATTCAATCTGCAATTAAAAAAACAAAAACACCCTTCATGAAAATCCATATTACGCTTAATGTCATATTCCACAAAATATGTGTTGTGCACTAAAGTACAATTTTTATGCACATTTTATGCATCTTTTGAACTGAGAACCTTACAGCAAAACCTGGAGATAACATTCTAGCCCCATCCTGATAATTCAATAGAGCAGTATCCTAAGGACAATACCAGAATAAAAAACATGAAGGGTCCCGTCCCCCGTCCCCCGAGCTGCTGTTAATCCAGGCGTATAATCATCTCCCCAGATCATTCGGAAAGTTGCTAAGCAATCAGTGATGTTGGATGTGAACGAACCTGTCTCCCAGCTGCATAAATGTGCGTTCCAGCTGCATGGCACTGACCGGATGTACCTCAGTCTCTCCACAGAGAAAGTGGTTCAGTTCCAGGTAGGAGGGATGGCGGGCAGAACTGGGGGGTCAAGTGAGATACCCTCCACCCCAGCTGTATCAAAATATTGCTGTATTATTTAATTTGGAATCTATGCCACAGGGCTAGAGCAGAGCTGAAATCATTTCAAAATTCCGTTTTTTAGTAGCAAGAAGGGGGAGAAACTTTTGGAATTTTCAAAGCCCCTGAGAAAAAGAAGACAGAATTTTGCAGAATTTTCTGTGAACATTCTCAACCATTTTCGTGGCAGTTGCCATTCCTACATCCAGTGCCCCAAATAATGACAAGTCCCAGACATTGTGGAAGATGCAAAATGGTGGCCTGGCTGCTGCCAGTGCTGGTGGTGTTGCTACTTGCAGCAGGGTGGTGGGAAAATGCTTAGAAAATACCTTTGTCACTGCTGTTGCTAATGGTGAGTGACCCCTGGATTGAGAAACTGTTGGAGAATTTCTCTTCCCCTTGGATTATTTTTTTTTTTTTTGAGAAATCCCTATTTCTCTGTCCACAAATATAGTGTTGGACAACAACTCCCACAACCCCTAACCGTTAGACATTCTAGCTGGGGCTGATAGAAGTTGGAGTCCAGCAACATTTGTACGAATGTAGGAACCTGCCTTTCATTGAGCCAGCCCATTGGTCCACTTCACTTAGCATTGTATACACCAGAACTGGATCTGGTTGGGAGAACTGGATCCAGAAGCAGCCAACTCTCTATGGGCCACTCTGACAGGTGAGCAGGACTGCCCACCTGTCCCGACGATCACTTCAGCAGCATCTGAAATTGGAACAGTTTCCAGATGGCTAGTCTTGATAATCTAATACACTAAACCCAACATGGCACCTTAAAGACTGAAAAATAGACTGTGCCATGAGCTCTTGGGAGTGCCACAAACATAAAACCCCCACATCAGAAATGCCTCCTGGAGGAGGGGGGTCACCAGCACTGATGTAGGAACTGCCAATGCGATCCTTAACAATTCCAAGTAGAAAGTTGACCACAACCACACTGTTTAGGTAGCATGAACTAGGACTTAGTTCAACTCCTCTTTTCTAAGTACCCAGTGAGGTTGTTGATGGTTCCAACAGGCATCACCATGTCCGAAGGAAGTGAACCGGGAGCTGCTGAACGACAGCTCTTGCTGGACCATCATTGGGACGGAAACCGCAGAATACACATTCAGTGACTGCCTCACTGGCATTCAGGATCCTGTGAGCCCGGTCCCTCTCATCACAGCCCTGGAGGTGAGTCGAGTTCTTTTGCTTTGTGAAGAAGAGAGAAAAATCTGGCAGAAACTTTGGCTAACTTGCTTTAATGAAATACGGAATTATCCCCATTTCCTGGGATGCTACTCATGATTACTTGGAGGAGATTAAATCACACACCCATCTTCCCATGCTCAAGATACTCAGAAGGTGCACTTCTTTCACTCTTTCAGTGCATGCTGATGGGTGCCAGGGGGCTTCTCATCTGGTTTGTCATTCTGACTGTGAAATTGGAAGATAGCAATTCTTCTGGCTGACTTAATGTAGACTACAAGGGACGCGGGTGGCGCTGTGGTCTAAACCACAGAGCCCAGGGCTTGCCGATCGGAAAGTCGGCAGTTCGAATCCCCACGATGGGGTGAGCTCCCGTTGCTCGGTCCCAACTCCTGCCCACCTAGCAGTTTGAAAGCACGTCAAAGTGCAAGAAGATAAATAGGTACCACTCCGGCGGGAAGGTAAACGGCGTTTCCATGTGCTGCTCTGGTTCGCCAGAAGCAGCTTAGTCATACTGGCCACATGACCCAGAAGCTGTCTGCAGACAAACGCCGGCTCCCTCGGCCTATGGAGTTAGATGAGCGCACAACCCCAGAATCGTCCACGACTGGACCTAATGGTCAGGGGTACCTTTACCTTTACCTTTTTACAAGGGTGTAAACTTGGGTATGCAATATGGGAGCCTCTTTGAGAAGGGAAGACGAGTTGAAAACAGTAAACTTGTGATTTATAAATGAACTACAGTTGTACCTTAGATCCCGAACGCCTTGTGACTTGAACATTTTGGCTCCTGAATGCCACAAACCTGGGAGTGAGTGTTCTGGTTTGCAAATGTTCTTTGGAACTCGAATGTCTGGCACAGCTTCTGTGGCTTCCGATTGGGTGCAGAAAGCTCCTGCAGCCAATTGGAAGCTGCGCCTTGGTTGTCAAACATTTTTGGAAGTCAAACGGACTTCTGGAACGGATTCCGTTTGACTACCAAGGTACCACTGTATATTGACACCACCTGCTCTTCTGCAGCCTCTACATCACTCAGATTAACAAATGTTGGATGGAAGGCTGTTGCCTATTTTCAGTCCTCTTAATATGAAGACTGCTGTTTTATAGGCCCTATGTCAGATAAGAAATGTCCCAGGAATTTACGTTGCAAATGTGAGATAACAAGCTAGTGATGTCATGTAACCTCCACACCACCTTATCAGGATGAATGCTCAAGGAACAGGCGACATTGCATAGCCGCCACATAATTTTGTCCAAATATATCAGCAGGAATGCTCGATTAAGCAGCCAGTCTGGAATCTCCCGTGCTTGCTTTAATGTCAGAAGGTGGAAGGGGAAGAGGGAGGCGAGGCTGTGCTCTAACTTCATGATGAGATGTGTGTAACCTTTTCTCCCTGCGACTGGGTCTGCTTCTCACAGCTGGCAGGTGGAGGGGACGTGGCGATGCTAGAAGTACAGGGCGAGTACTTGCATGCAAACCTGAAGGTTTGGTTTGGCGATGTGGAAGCCGAGACCATGTACAGGTAAAGCAGAGAGACAATCTGTTGTGCAGACAAAGTATGTTAAGCTGGGCCGTTTTGCAGCCGCTATTCTTTGGGCATGTTCCAGACAAGTGGGGCGTTCACACGTTATATTCAACAAGTGTATACTTGCTGTAAACTCACAGGGAGGAATTCAACATAGCGCTAAGCAGATCGCTCCATCAGCGCAAGCATTTCTCCTCTCCCTGTGTGCTGTTCCAGGGATTTTCCTGACCGCCACCCAAGCCAATCTGGGGAGAATGGGGCATGCAAGGAGAGGAGGGAGAAAGCCCCCTTGTTCTTGCAGAAGTCTTTGCATGGAAGATGTACTGGAAAGTGTGGGGTAATTGCTGGGTGTGGTATCGTATAACTTCCCCACAAACAAATCCAAACAAATGTTCAATAAACAATGGGCATCATATAACTTCCCTGCAAATCAGGATGAATGCTCAGTGAAATGGGCTGTCTGGAAGTGACTCCAATGTAACCCTTTGAGTCACTGCGGGGAGGAAGAAGAAACCCCATTTTTCTTGTGTTGTGCATTCTTTTCCTCCTTAGGAGTCCCAAGACTTTAGTATGCGTTGTTCCTGATATCTCTGCGTTCAGCCGTGACTGGAGGTGGCTGAGATACCCCATCACTGTCCCTCTCCTACTGTTAAGGAATGACGGCTTGATTTATTCCAGCACTTTCAGTTTCACATACACACCAGAGCAGAGTTTCTTGACTGGGCAACCAATCCTGCCAAAGGTGATGCAGGATTCCGACACCTTGCTTGATACCATCCATCAGGAGTTCACGAAGACCAACTTTCATCTCTTCATGCAAAGTTAGAGCCGGTGTTCTATGTATGCCAGGATTCAACAGGAGTGCAGAGGACAGAGCAAAAGATTTGGCTTCCTGTTAATCTTAGCTTTAATTCTCATGTCTTATTTAGGGCTGGGCGATATCTGGTTTTCAACGTCGTGATAGATCACCAGCTAAACATCACGATATACCAGTATATCACGATGTCTGAAATAAGGATGGAGCTATGTAGAGGCATTGGCTGGCTTCACAGTTTTCCCCGCATTGTGATTTTTGCATAGCACACACACACACACACAATCACGATTCACAATATATTGCCAGGTCAAAAAATATGAAACAGATATTACAATACGGACTTCAAACAGGTTTTGGACAATATATTGATATATCGCTGAGCCCTAATGCATATACCTGAAAGTATGTGGTGAACTATATCACCTGTAAACCGCCAACACCAGAGAGGTGGCTGAATAAGATGGGCCTGTTGTGACTATCAAGGCTGAAAAAATTGTGCAAAATAGCATTCTATTATACATTATGCGGAAATCATGAAATATTGTTCAATGTGCATAACTTTTCCAAGTACAGAATCTGGATTTCTTGGACATTACGAGTTAAGAATAAATAAATAGTGCTTATTAGACTGCAGTGACAAAAGAACATAGTTGCAGAGCACCAGCATCTCATATGAAAAGACACTTTCATTTGATGGTCACCTGGACTTGAACCGTTTCTTATGGAGATGATATGCTGCACTATCTGTGGAATGGGGATTCAGGGCTGTATATGTTACGTTGCATTTATCTGAAACGTAATTAAATAAAAAAAAGGTAGTGGATTACATATAGCAGTTGTTAGGATTTTTTCAGATGGCCAGACACCTGCATTTCAAGATAAAATGTTAATTTAAAAAAATTAAGATTAAAATTAAAGTACTTGTAAGGCGACTTGAGGGCTGCAGTGCTCCCTCTATCCTTTTAACCATTTCTTAGAAAAGCTCCAGCACAGGTCAATCCCAGGGGCCACATGGCTTGTTGCTGCCATGGGCTTTGGATTACAAGAGCAGGATCTGCTCCCAACCTGCCCCCTAAGGTGGGGCCTAATCCTACATCTTCCCTGTCCAGTCCCACTTATAGGCAAACACACACATAGCTGTTTTTTAATTAATGAGTCCCTAGCGGTTTTGGAAGGGCCTCAAGAGGCATCCAAATTCCATGGATGCACAAGATACCCACTGTACACATGTTGCGGGCTTTGAAGATTAATTTAGAACCTTCGGGCGAATGCAGCATCAAAGGGTCAATCATAGATTCTGAAGCATGTTGCTTTAGCATTAGGAGCTTATTTAGAAAGCTGTGTGGTGCCAAAACCACACACTGGCTTTTAACCTGTGTTGAACTCCTGAAGGCCTACAGTGGAGCCCGGTGGAAAGAGACCGCAGCCCAGCGAGCGTCAGCATCCTCAAAGTGCCAGGCGAGTCATGCCAACAAGAAGCCCTTTCTCTGCTTCCCCCACTCATGACTCCAAGGCTGGAAGAGTCTCTTGTACATCAGTGTATCTTGTGGGTGCCGTGGAAAGCTGTGGCTGGCGCATTTCGGGTTATTTTGTGCCGGTGGTTTCAGAGAGATGGGCTTCCATGCTGCTTTGTGTCAACGTGGGTGTTGTCAAAGAGTCGTTTGCTCAGAGGAAAAAATGAAATGAAATGAAAATCTGACCTTGTTAACACCTGGCCCACCCTTTCAACTCCAAAGAAACCCCAGTGATGCCCCACAGCTATTTTGTTCCCAACTGTTGCCCAGTTCAACAGCAGACCCATGGCCAAAAGAAATAAGGAACCTGACATTTATAGGAGGGGGCTGTCAAAATCTTACTTATTAGAGATGATATTCAAATAAATAATTGAACTCGCACAGGTTACTGCTAGCAGAATGGTATTCACACACACACACACCTTTTGCCTATGTGTAATGCACACCATCCCTAAATATGGTCCAGAGGATTGGGGGAACCCCTAGAACAGATTTCAGAGGGTACACAGAGGGAGGAGAAGGGAGAACATACCACTTCTCAAGGAAAGTTCTTGTGCTGCTGGAATGTTCGCCTTAGGTTGAATGCAACCGTACATTTTTATGTTATATGTTCAGCATAAGGGGCTCCAAGAGGCAGATAGGGCTTCACCAACCTGGGAAGGAAGCCCATCTAGGAGAAGGAAAACTCTGGTCCTAGACCTCTGCTGCCTTGCAGGATATCTTTGGGAGAAGAAAAGGCTAAGGAATAAGCCCTAAGTGGGGTCCCTAAGATGGTTGGATGGCGGCTTGTACGCCTCCTTCTGGCAACTCCTGCACTCCAGGCTGGTGCCAAACATATTGCTCTGCTTTCCCTTGGAGCGCATCAGCGAGGCAGAGATGGGGGTCTTGTTGTCTGGGCAGCCCAGAACCTCCATACACACTGTTGAGAGCCAGTGTGGTGTAGTGGTTAAGAGCGGTAGTCTCGTAATCTGGTGAACCAGGTTCGCGTCTCCGCTCCTCCACATGCAGCTGCTGGGTGACCTTGGACTAGTCACACTTCTCTGAAGTCTCTCAGCCTCACTCACCTCACAGAGTGTTTGTTGTGGGGGAGGAGGGGAAAGGAGAATGTTAGCCGCTTTGAGATTCCTTCGGGTAGTGATAAAGCGGGATATCAAATCCAAACTTTTCTTCTTGTTGTGCCCCAGGGAGGTCACGCCATTACTGCTAATGCAGCAGTTTAGCTTCACCCCTGGAGGCTAGCTCCATTGTCTCTCGAGACAGACAGGTGCCAACAACAAATGCTGCCTATTTGTAGCAGTTGTGGGACATCTCTGGCCCACAGACCTAACTCCCCATTCCTTGGCCAAGCCACCCCCACCTAACTATATGATGTCAGATATTATTTCAAAACACGTGAAGGGGGGGGGAATAGGTCAACTGATGCCCTTCTGCTGACTGGCTGGTCTGTCTACATGCCAATCTAGCCAGATGTAGGGGCAGATAAGGATCCAGCCCATCTTTTGGATCTACTTCCCCACCTCTGCTTTAAAGGAATTGGTGTCGTAGGGTGGGGCCTTGGTGTCAGCTGACTGAAGGTTGACAGGCAGAACACTGGACCTGACAGCTGAAAGCCCTCTTCAAGATCTCACTGCATTACACAGAGACCCACCCAGCAGCTTCTGTGGGCTCGCATTAGTATTTTATTCACTGACCATGGCTGAAATCCATCCACACCCCTTAGGAAATGATGGGCTATATAAACCAATCTGCAATAAACCTAGGGAATGTTGCCATTCCATGAGGCTGCTGTTCTGACTCTGAACTCTGTGAATCAGACGAGTGTGTCTCCTGCATTTTGGCAGGGATCACGGTCCCCCGAGACTAGCTCCCTGTATTCTGCCCTACATCATGGTGCGTTCCATTTTTAGCTTATGAAGTGAAAATAAGGCCACTCTCTGCTCACCAGCTCTCCCAGCCAAAGTTGATTTTGCTTCAGATTCAAGGACAGATATATTGCAGAGCGGAACTCCAGAATACGTTGGCTGTTTGGGGGGCCCCTTGGGCATTAGCCATGAATAGTACCATATAAAGACTTGGCCTGTTTAGTAGCAGCAAATATAATTGCTAGTTTCAGTTGCCGGACAGGGGCAAAAGAGATGAACAAGCAACATGCAGTAATTTAAAGTCCACTCTGTTTTTTCTTTATGGGTAGTATGTTATGGTGCTGGAGGAGACTCTTGAGAGTCCCATGGACTGCAAGAAGATCAAACCTATTCATTCTTAAGGAAATCAACCCTGAGTGCTCACTGGAAGGACAGATCCTGAAGTTGAGGCTCCAATACTTTGGCCACCTCAAGAGAAGAAAAAGACTCCCTGGAAAAGACCCTGATGTTGGGAAAGATGGAGGGCACAAGGAGAAGGGGATGACAGAGGACGAGATGGATAGTGTTCTTGAAGCTACCAGCATGAGTTTGACCAAACTGCAGGAGGCAGTGGAAGACAGGAGTGCCTGGCGTGCTCTGGTCTATGGGGTCATGAAGAGTCGGACATGACTAAATGACTAAAGAACAAAGTATGTTGGCAGAATAATCTATCTTTCTGTACAATAATGCAAAGTGGATTTTTCGGCACCCGAGTCCACCAGATTTCCATTCTGCTTCCTTTAACTCCATGTCTATGGGTGGAGACAGATGTATTACTGAAACATGAGTCACAGAGCACCTCCAGAAAGCCATTTTACTGCAAGTGTATTGTAGAATGTTATTGACAACACATTCATGTTGGATTTATTCTGCTTTGGTTTGTTCTGTGATGCTTCCCCAAACCTACCACATTATTGCTGTCCGGAGGGCCTATAGTGCAACAAAAGCGGAACAAAAATCACCCTAAAATGTCCATTTGATGAACATTTTAACCTAAAATAGTCCCTATATGTGCATTTGGCACATTTTGTGACCAGAAATCTGTACTGCAAAATTCAGAGAAGAGTGGAAATGGGAGGATAACTATGTTCCAATCCATTTATGTCTCAGAACTTGCTATGAAAGGGGAAAAGGTACATTTGCACTGAATACAGTAGAATTGCTTCCAAATAGGCTTCTACCTGTCCCATCTGGGTTCACTCACTATTTCACTTTTTCAAAAGTGCTCTGGAAGTGTTGCCTTCAGTTTGAGGTGGCATCATTTCGTTGTTTGCTTTAAATGTGAACATGCCAAACAATAGCCATGCACAACTTAGACACTCAAAGACGACTGTGAAATACAATAGAGAAAAAACAGAGGCTGGATCTAGACACATCAAAGAAGCGTTTCAGTTTAAAGCGTTGTAAATTTAAACAGGGAAATCAGGTAGAGAAAAACGGGACTCCACGTCGCCATCTGGGGGCGCAATGTTATATCGCACATACAAATCGCTTTTTCTTTACCAGTCTATCCGAGTCCCAGTAGGGGTATATATGTGACAACTACATATAAAGAGCTACACTGAACGTTACAACTCCCTGTAGTGAGCTTGGTTTTTGCAACATCCCTAAAATGAGTGCAACTCAGCTACCGGGCACTCTGAAGCCTAGAAGAGGTTCTTTTATTGCCCTGATAATATTTCCAAAGCCCCTAAAAAGCTGCTTTGCTAGCATTTATAGTTAAAAGCTATACATGCTTCAAGAAATTGGCTCAGATGCTGCGGCCAGCTAAATCAATATTTGCCCATTGGGAACACAGACTCCATGTGAAAATTATGTTCGGAGAACTTTTCAAGGCGGTGCCCCCTGGGAACAACTGGTTCAAATCGACAGGGGGAGACCAAGAACAGCAAAAGGAAGGCTTTGTCTGCACACATACCCCTGTCCATTTCTCTCTTCTTCTCGTTTTGTTTGTTCATCATCTTAGGCAAGCAAGAACGGCAATATTATGTTGGGTCCTCGTACTATCCAGATGAAGTGTTTCAGCTGAAGCAGTTGTACAGATAAACTCCATCTGTACATCCTGCTCCAGAGCATACATCAAAGGATGATCCCATTGACCTGCATCATTTTTTCCGTGTGAAGTTCAGAAAGTACTGTTGATATATTTTTGGAAATGAATTTCTCATCCACGGATCCAGGTATGTTTAAAAAAACAAAATAAAGTAATTCAGAGAACATCTTGTCCTTAGTGGACAAGTCAGAACTCATGTTTAGTTATGTGTACACCAGCAACCCAATCCTATTTATTCGGAGATAACTTTAACTGGCTTCAATATGGCTTACCACCTACAGCCATACCTCGGGTTGAAGTAGCTTCAGGTTAAGCATTTTTGGGTTGCGCTCCGCGGCGACCAGGAAGTAACGGAGCG